AGGTGGTGTGCCTCCTCCTCCAATGGGAGGGGGCGGGGCAGTGAGAGCTCGAGGTGGAGCGGCTTCTCCTCCAATGGGAGCGGGCGTGGCAGTGAGAGCTCGAGGTGGAGCGCCTTGTCTATTTCTCTCATTCTCCTTCCCTTTGTTTCCTTCTCTTCCAATGGGAGTGGAAGCTCCATGTTGCTCTCCTCCACCTCCTCCTCCGCTGCCGGGACGAACCATAGTGGGAGCTACATGTTGCCCTCTTCCTCCGTCAAGACCAATTATCGTACGCCGAAGGGCACTAGCCTGAGCCATGAAGGGTGCAAATTCTCTGGTGGTAAGCTTGTGTGCCCAATTAACTCTTCGTGTTGTCACGGCTCCCGGTCCAAAACAGTTGTATTCCCCATAGAAAACCTTACTGCATGAGCACGTACACATCAAATTAAAACCAAAGTACAAAACCGATCAAAGATTAAAATAAAATAGAGTAATTAAAAAATTAAGCACTCAAAAATATATACCTCAAGTTGTAGGGTGATAGCCTCCAACTGTCCCAGCCTTGTGGCAGAATTACATTTGACATTTGAGTGTAGGCAAATATGACTCTGGCATATGGCCCCCATGGCCTTCCCAGGAGTGCCGTTTTGACGCCGGTTATGTTGCACCACAAAAAGGTGAACCCAGGATCCTCTAAAGGAGAAGTCCTCCGTTGGGCCGTTATAGCGCCGTTTTGACCCGAAAGTGTATGCAAGTGACAATTCTGCAAATTAATCACTTAGTTAATCTCCAGTATATACTAATTAATATTTAATTAACAATGAAGTAATTAAATGGTACGTAGATGTATACCTCATATAAAGAATCAGCGCTTCCAAATATAAAATCAGTGTCTCCTTGAATGTAGCAGTCTTTGTAGTAGTGCTTGCCAATCTCGTCGAATAAGGCATCTTGATGAGACAAAATTCTGCACCCATAGAATGCTGCTCTGTCTCCTGATACTCTTAGTGCCACTGTTTTGTCACCGGTTCCATATGTATTCTACACTCACCCATTCAAATTAAGTAAAATTAAATATGTGTTCAAACAATATATATATATATATATATATATATTTCATACGAGTAATTTTTGGGTTTTCCGAGTACACCACGTGGTTGGTGTACCATCCAATAAACGGAAGACATATGAAATATTTGTAATGCAGCCCGTCACATGTTATAAAAAGAAATGCAGTAAGTTAGATAATAACTCCACATGTCCTATGTTTATTGGATGGTACACCAGCCACGTGGTGTACCCGGAACATATAAAAATTTCTCAATTCGTAGTCTATAAAAACAAGACTATATATACCTGAATTGTGAGTTGGCGCCCTATAAAATCAGAAGCCCACACAGTGAAGACTGAGGTTTGATTTATCCATCCTGCTTGGTTCCATGTTATTATGGTATGCTCTGTGTTTGTGCCACTCATTGTTATAAAGGGTTTGTCTATAGGCACATAAATTTTTTCTTGGTAGACACCAGGTCGAACCAAAATAGACACACGCGCGGCGTTGTTAGACGGCACGGCATCAATGGCGTCTTGTATTTTAGTGTAGTCACCATTGCCGGACTGATCGACGGTTAGAGAAATTGGTGGGGTTGGGGGTGCTTGAGAGAGCACACCCGTCACCATAAAAGCATAGAACAAGAAGAAGAGCATGGCAAAAGAGAGCTTGATACCACTAGTCATGTATGTCGAATAATATAACAATACGTAGGATTTTGCACGTCCTAGGTAAGGAATATATAGAGTTGCTATCCATGCAGAGCTAGGAGTTCAAGTAGCTAAAGCTTTGGCCAGGTTACTCCTTTCAACTCCCTTACGGATTTAGGAAAAGTTTCCACACAGAGCCAAGAGATTAAACAATAAATATTTATCCTCTTTTAATTGGGATTCAGAAACAGATAACACACGAACAAATCACTTCGACCTCAACTAGTAAATAAGTTTAGAAATTTGCACAGATCCGCTTAGAATTTAGATATGAAACCACCATTGTAATCTGTTTTATTTTCCATAACAAAAATCGTCTTTTGTGATTAGCAAAATGTTTGATCGTCTTTTGTCAAAGCTAGTCGTATATTATATAGGAATTGTTTTACTTCCTTTTCTGCTCTCGGTTTTTTATTCATTGGGTATGATCTAAAGTAGGAACAGAGTGACCAAATATACTGTGTGGGGAAAGGCATGGCCGCATGGTGGATAATGGGGTAGCTAACTGGCTCTTGATAGAGCTGAATGGAAAATAACTTGAGTAGTGAAGATGGTTCTTTGTTGATTTGAGAATAGTCAGTCACAAACACATTGTTTGTTGTGCAGTGTGCAGATGCGTATATGAACTAAAGTGCGCTTGTACGTGTACACGGAAGAAGCCTGCTGCAACTTGCAAGTGGTGGTGACAGAGACTGAAACTAGGTGGTACCAGATTTTAGGAAAAGTGCAGTGTTCAAATGTTTTTAGTTTTTGTGAACACTTTCCATGTTACCAAGAATATAACACCACCTTTAATAATGCGATATGATTAAAAACATGATTTTACTTAAAATATAAGTAATGATTTATTCATGAAAGAAAGAAATAATAAATAAAAGATATTGCAAAATATGCCTAAATGAGATGCACTCCTAAATAGATTATAATTGATTAAAATCAAGAAAGATCAGGGAAATAAAATCATATTAGATTCCAAAATACGTTAGTGCATAAAAACATGTCGTGTTTTACCCTTCATATCAAATGTCTCATACGTGTTAAGTCACAATTCTAGAATTCATGATTGCTAAGCTGTTTCAATCCTACAGTTTTTGGAAATCAGATACAGCAATTTTGCTTCAACCATCTAGCTAAATGACACTTCCAAACCTAAACTAAGTTTTAGGAAATACGAACACAATTTCATACTAACAGTTAACACTCTGGCAAAGTTCGTTGACATGTTGAATTTTGCTTACTATTAGGATTTAAGTTGTGATATTTTCCTGTATTTTCATTCTTCTTCTGCTTTGCTTGCTGACGAAATAAAATTCGGGTGACCTATTCTAGCAGACCCCTCTTTTTATTACAGAAAAATGTTTGCAATTGAGAAATTTACATGAGCTATAGTGAATGGCGATTCTGAGCATATATTATTATTATCATGGTATTAAATGGAGGTCGTAAGCAAGGGGGTTGTGCTTGTGATTAGGAAAATCATTTCCAGGTGGGTTGTGGGAGATTCTGACTACTTAGGCTTTGAGATGCCAGATAGATGTCCAATTCATACACCTAATTGGTATAACAACCCTCCAACAACTGAACAACGAAATCACAAGTGCAAAGTAGTTGTTAATTTGTTATTACTTGACTTTGTTTTATCAAACAATTCATGTGAAAATAAGTTTTGTATTTTATAATCTCAAAATTATTTGGGCATGGCCAGCTAATGATTTCAGTCTTCTCCCCTCCTCTTTCTCTCTCTCTCTCCCTCTCTCTTCCTCTTTCTGACTTCCGATCATTCCATTAAAACCCTCAAAACATAATATTTTCCTCCCACTAAACCACCAGCTTTTCCTCCACCCCAAACGGGCAACAAATGAGTGGGAGAACCTACGTTGTGATATTCTTCTTCTGGGCTGCCCTCACTCTCATCACGCCCACACTCATTCTCCTCTCAGAGACTTCAAAACCCTACTTGGATTCAAATGGTAAGAAATAGTGAGAGATATGGAAAATTTTGTTTTACTGTTGTAGTTCTGCTCTGAAATCTTGACACTTTGAAATGATTTTTGTAACCTCTTTCTCTTCTGCTTCATGTTTGGCAGTTGAGAAAATTGAAGGAATCAAGGCTAGAAGAATGATAGAAATCATGAGATATCAAAGAAGCAGAGCAACCACAGAAGCACCTGCACCAACTCCAACTTCAGACCTGAAACCAGCTTTGGAGGCTAGAGAAAGCAATATTGGAAAGGGCTTGTTAGAATCTTTGAGATTGATGATCAAAAATACCAAGTTCAAGTTAACGTGAGTGCATCAGACTAAATGTCCAAACTATACAAAATTCAAGACCAGAGTATTTTTAGTTTAGATTTTTCTTGATGCATGAAAGCTACTTCCGAGACAGAGCTCATGACTTTTCGGTTTGAGGCTCTCCGGTTATCTCCTGGAGAAACAATGTAAATGTGACATGTCAATGCAAGGAAAACAAATGCACTGGTTTTTCAAGTATACTGTTGTTTGTTTCGTTTACTGGGATGTTAGGTTGTACAAGGAAAATTAAAGCATAATTTAGCTGACCAAACAACATTGGTGATGTGAGCAAAGACATTGAATAATGGATGTTTTTGTCATTGTCTAAGTTGGGAGTTGCTGACACTGGGGCTGTCTCCTAAGCAAGACAAAAGGCTCAATTAATTGTGTTGGTACTTGGTATCATAATTTGCTGCAATTCGAACCACCAAATGTAAATAGGCTTCTAATATAAGGGATAGTGCAGTAATAAAAATGTGACCACCCATGCCACAACCATCTCTGTGCTTGTGATGGGTGTTCTGTTCTGTTCTGTGTCCAAGTGACGGTGTCACGGTTTCATCGAAAAATTGCGACGACAGTGCTTGGCATCTCTCAAAAAACCAGAACCAACCACAAATGTAAATGCATAAAACACTTTGTTGATGTAGAAGTAGATTTATGTTTCATCACAAACAAACTCCATCCAGGTTCGTGTTGATATTAAGAAGACAGGAAACTCGTACTGCACAAACACTTTCCATTTCGCTCAAACAACAATTACGTACTTAAAATTAAATTATTTTTGTTCTGAGATAATTCAGTAAACAGCTTAGCAGCAGTGTCTTAGTAGTTTCTAAACAAATTGGTCGAGGTAGTCTTCCACGGGGGTGTACTTGACATCAGGGTACAGCTCAGAAGCCTCCACTCCGAACGATGGCTCGATCTCGAAGTTGGTATGATCTCCCTTCACGAACACTGAGTGGTTGATTGCTAATATCACATTGATTGGAATTGGGGCCTCTGCAACAATATTTAGTCACAGATTAACTAACACCAATGGCAAGCAAACTTTTCATTGTTTTTAAACATTGCCTTAAATTACTGACCTTGAATGTCCTGGAGAAGCTTGTCCTCTGGAACATAGACCTTTTCAAGGACTTTGCCAATCTTCTTCTCCCACAAGGCAACAAGCTCATTGAATGAGTAAATGTTTCCGGGTGGCTTGATGTAGACAATCTTGTTCAATGTTCTTGGGTCATCAACGGCCCTGATGGTATAAGTTCCAATGTCCTCTTCCTTGTTGAAGACAGCTGCAGCAACAAAAACAAAAATTAGAATGAAAAAAAGAAGAGAGAAAAGAGTGCCAAAATTTGTGAATGCAATTGGAATCTGAGATAATCACCCCTTGGATTTCCATCCCCTAAGATAATGACTTTGTCTCTGGGTGGAGAACTGACGCCGGGCTGTGCCAAAGTGGGCAGAAAATAGCCAGCAAAGCAGTTGCTGGACACGTAAGTGTAGGGGATGCCCTCCGCCTCTATGGCGCGCCGGATTTGGACTTTGATTGCAAATGCAGACTTAGCTGGCTCCACTGCATGCACACGATCCACATCGTTTCCAAACTCCGACGGAAAAAATCTCTGCATAAAAAAACGTATACATTCATCAATTAAATACTAATTAATTAAATTAAATGCAAATGGACGGACTCACTGTGTTGACTAACTAGTGCAACGCATATACGAGAGTTTGAGTAGTTGCAATTAGAATTTAGAGGCAGGCACCAACCAACCTTGACATTTCCAGCTTCTTTAATGGCAGCAATGATCTTGGTCTGGTCAGCAAGTACCAAGTGACCTACAGTTGATATCACCACGTCCACCTGTTTGATCGCCTTCACCAAGCTCTCATGGTCATAAAGATCCCCCTGCACAAACATTGCACAACAAACTCGGCTATGAAATTAACTACCGTGTATAATTAAGTGAGTAAACATAATTAAGCACAAACATAGAGTGATGTATTAAATAATATAAACGTACGTAGAGCAGGGTGACACCCAAGTTGTTGAAATTGCGAATGAGGGTGGACTTGGCAGGGTCGTTGGCCGTGGCCTCTCTGACAAGAGCAAAGGTTGGATGGCCAGCCTTTGCGCTGGCTTCAACAATGAACTTGCCAATGTAGCCTGTGCCTCCAATGATCAAAACCTTGCTCCTCTCAGCCATTGCAAATTAGAATGATCAAATTCTTCTTCTTCTTTTTCTTTTATAAAATTTTGTGTTTTCAAGTTATGAAATAAACAGAGAGGTTGCGCATGAGCAGAATTTATGGAGGAAATTATATAATAACCTATCATGCTTTCTAGGTGGAAGTCGTATGGTGGCTGTGACTGTTCACCACCTTTTTTAATTCGACTTTGGGAGAATATTATCCTCCCCCACCACCATCAACTAACTTTGGTTGAGATATCCATGTCCTCTATAATTTTGCTTCATTTAAAAGCCAACAATGCTACATGAAAAGTCATCATTACCCTCTTATATGTTCTAAAAGGGGGGTTGGTGAAGGGGCAAGATCTGGACTCTCTCCATTTTATCATTCTAGAATGAATCCTGCAGTGCCGGTAACATGGTAGACGTTCATAATTTTTTATTAATAGGGATTGAATTAAATTATCATTGTGTAAAATAGGGCCCAGCTCCTTTTTTGGAGTGATATTTTTATTCAATAAAGATCACAATTTTTATCATACCACTTGCAAATAATACGGATTTAGAAAAGGCAACATGATTATAGTGTGAAGGCTAAGAATGCCTTGATGATCATGTTTGTTTGCATTCAACTACTTACAAAAGAATCATTTCTTTGATTAAAAAAAAAACGACCTTCAAGCTCACTCACTCCAACCAAATATTGTAAGAGCATTTTCAACCAGCAGCCTAGTTCAGGCAAAATGTCTATTAGTCCTCAAAAATCATTTCCAACACTGCAATTCAGCATAATAAATATAACGAGAGAGAGAGAGATTCGAACACGGAGCTCTAATAACACCTTGCATAAATATGAAATTTTTAACAGAAAAACACAACAATAAAGCACTAAAGAAAACACAGCTTACATGAAAGTATCATCTCATAATTTGTACACGTCGTAGAAACACTCAACCGACCAACCGTGACAAGTTGACAACAAACAAACTCATAACTCATATACGAAAAAAGAAAAAGGAAAAAGGTGAGTGGCATAGGAGCCCATGAATAATATGGGCTTGCAGATTTGGGCCTGGTAGGAACAGATCAAGTAGTAATTTGGTCAGGAGTGTCTGATTTGGGGGCCCAGTTGGGTACGTGGAACTGTGATGCGTACGTGTTGGAAGCGCCTTCCCACAGAGGGGGTTCATTCAGAAATGCCCAATTGCTTAAAGTCCACCTGTACCACCATCACCATGGAAGGAAGGAAGGAAGCATAAAATAAAATTACTAATTGTTCTTTAATTAATTAATTAATTGGGTGGGTTAAGAAGTTGATGAGCTTACCAGCCCTTGTTGTTTCTGATTTTGTGAGCGTTTGTTTTATCAATATCTGTCTCCTTAGTTTTGGCTACAGGAAAAGAGCTTGATTTCTGTAATTTTCTTCCCGATTCATCATCAGCTTTGATTTCCTGTCATGCATAAGTAAGCACCCAACTTTTTCTTTTCTTTTTACGACAAAAAAGAAAAGGAAAAAAGAAGCGAAACTTGACAAGGATTTTCACAAACCTGAGTAGTGGTGGTATGATGAGATTCATTGTTGGCTCTCCAGTAAGCTTCAATCTCGTCCTTGGTGAGTGATTGATTCCTCTTGCAAACATCTGAAGAAATAGAAATAGAAATAAAGCTTGAGTGAATGAATTGACAAACACAATACATATACCATGGATTAATTCAAAATTAAGTTAATTATAAATTGAGATTACCTTACCTGGTTTGGAATTTAGAACGGGTGAGTCCCATCCTGCCATGAGTGAACCCATGTATGATATATATATATATATATATGTATTTCCTCCGATTGCTTTGAAACTGAACACAAATGACTTTCTACTCTTCTTCCTGATCCTGTGAATAATCTACACTTCCTCACTTGCTGTAAATTAATTTATTCACAAATTAGTCTTTAAATACACAGGAACAATTGTGTGTGTGACTTGAGACTTTGGAGCTGGCTGGCTCATGGCTGGGACCATGCATATCCTTTACTTTGTTCTTATCCCCAAGAAAATGAATATTTTGGTATCAGCCTAGCTACACGCCAATTAATATACAAGCATCAGCCCACAGGTTTGCATATAATAAAATAAAGGCGTCCCGTCACTTTTTTTGGAAGCTTGAGCAAGATTAATCCTATTTCCCTTTCTTTCTTTTCGGTATATGTCGGTATGGTCATTTCTAATTTCCGAGTTTGGATGGAACAGCATGTATATCCATTCAAATTCCATTCCAATCCAATCCAATCCAAGGAAAAAAAACAGAAAAAGAAAAAACAGAAAAAGAAAAAAGAAAAGTTGGCAATTTTTTATTTCTTTCAATAAAACAAGCAAGACATCTATGAAAATAAAATATTTTCCTCCTTTCCTCCTTTCTTGGAAGTAAGAATTCCTATTTTTTTTGTTAACCACGGTTTGATACGTGTGTAGATGAATTATTTTCATATATATGTCAAGATGTAATTTGCAGGAAGTAGAGATGCCTCCAGTATCCCCATATAATTAACGAATTTTCACTATAACGTGTTGGAGTCAACAAATGAATGAATGAATTTCAATATACATACATGATATAATAAGATAACTTTACAAATAAATAATTTGTTTATAAAACTAAACACACATTTCCACACAATTGAGTAGTGAGAATTGAATTAAGTCTTAGTAGAAAATGCTTTCTTCTTGAAGCTGGTTGGGGCTGATCTTATCCAAGCTTTGCCATCGATGGAGTCCTTGGTTAAGAAGGGTGCAGCTTCTTCACTCGTAAGTTTACGTGCCCATTCAACTCTTTTTGATGTTGCAGCTCCAGCTCCAGAACATCTATATTGCCCATAGTAAACCGTACTATGTACGTACACATCATCAAATTAAAACCAAATTAGGAAGAGTTCGTTCGTTTGAGTAAGAAATTAAGGATTAATTAAAACCGTAACTAAAAACAAAAACAAAAATACCTTAATTGGTCGGGTGAGTTTCCCCAGTCGTCCCAACCTTGTGGAAGTATGGCACTGGACATGTAAGTGAAGGCAAAGACGACTCTTGAATAGCCACCCCACGGTCTTCCTAACATTGCCGTTTTGACGCCACTGATTTTGCAGCTGAAGAAGGTGAACCCTGTGTCCTCTGAAGGTGACATCCTTCGTTGAGCTGTTATGGCTCCTGCTCCTCCCGAAATTGAATGCAAATGACACCTCTGCAAATTTAATTAAAACCCAATTATATACTAATCCTTTACCAAATTAACTCAATATATATATATATATATATATACAAATCTTGTTAATTACCTCAAAAAAAGAAGCAGCATTTCCACATATAAAATCAGTAGCTCCTTCAATATAACAGTTGTTGTAGTAGTGCCTGCCGGTGTCATCAAGTAGGGTGTCCTGATAAGACAATATTCTGCACCCATAAAATGCTGCTCTATCTCCCGACACCCTTAGCGCCACTGCTTTGCCACCCGCTCCATAAGTGTTCTGTAATGAATATTGAACAATTAAACATTATTAGATTAAATATAAAAAATTCCTTTGTTTCGTCGATGTTACCAAGAAAAAAAGCAGACTATAAATATACCTGAATTGTGAGATACCGGCCTATAAAATCAGAAGCCAAAACAGAGAAAGTTGGAGATTCAAATATCTCCCCACCGTCGTTCCATGTTATTATGGTGTCGTTTGCCTTTGTGCCACTTATTGTAATGAAGGGTTTGTCAGCGGGCACACTAATTTTTTCTTCGTACACTCCAGGCCTAACCCTAATAAACACAAGATCCACGTTATTAGACGGCACCGCATCAATGGCATCTTGTATTTTCTTGTAATCCCCTTTGCCCGACTGGTCAACCGTGATGAGAACGGCTGTTGACCCCTGCGTTGTGTCTGCTTCTGCTTGAGAAAAGGCCAGAAAAGCATGCAACATTATGGCCATGGCAAAGAAGCACTTGATCATCATCGTGGTCGCCATTAGAGACTATATCTGCTTTGATCAAAAGGTGTATGAAAATTAATTATCTCTGCGTAGGTAGGTCGATAATTAATTATAGAATAAATGGATGAATGGATGAATTGAAGAATATGGGTGCTCCTGATTATATAGGTGAATGCCAAGGAAGGTGGGGCCGTTTTCTTGGCAATTAAGTCTGATGAATTAGAACCACTTTTACAAGGAACGAGTGGAGGCCAGGAGGAGGTAGATAATTACAAGGAATTTCCACCTCCAGTGATAGAAGAAGTAAGCCGGCAGCAGGAGATTTTTACTTGAGACTGAAGAAACAAATGTTTGAAAACGAAAAGGAGTGAGGTGGTGAAGCTGATCAGATATTATATATATATAAACAGTAATAAGAAAATCTTATAAGGGCGGCGTATTGAATTATTGATGTTACACAAGTCTCGAGGTAGCTTAAGACGTAGATTAAGTAGGTCATTTGTGTGAAATTGTACTGTTAATGGCACATTACGTTATTGAGCGAGCAGGCGGCTCAGTTGCTTGTATTTGGGGTTTGACCATGGCTGCCGCCGTCGAAAAATATTAGGGCTATATGGAACTGGTCCAATTCATAATTCTCATAATCGCAACGAATGAAACTTGACCAAGTCAGTTCCTAAACCTGTTGAGTTTATTAAAAAAGAAAAGGCTTTACAAAAAAAGTTCGTACAAATAATCTAGAATATAAGAATCTTCGTAAAACTATAAAAAGAAGAAAAGAAAAGGTCCCAGAAGACCTATAGGCGCCGCACCCACTCGAGAACCCCTACTCAATGGGGAGCCCTGCAGTTGGAGCACCTTGTCTATTTCTCTCATTCTCCTTGGCTTTGTTTCCTTCTTCTCCACTGGGAGTGAAGCTCCACGTTGCCCTCCTCCTCCGTCGCTACCAATAATCGTACGCCGAAGGGCTCTAGCCTGAGCCATGAAGGGTACAAATTGTCTGATGGTAAGCTTGTGTGCCCAATTAACTCTTTGTGTTGTCACGGCTCCCGGTCCAAAACAGTTGTATTCCCCATAGAAAACGTTACTGCATGCGCATGTACACATTAAATTAAAACCAAATTACAAAACATATCAAAAATTAAAATAAAATAGAGTAATTGAAAAATTAAGTACTCAAAAATATATACCTTAAGTTGTAGGGTGATAGCCCCCAACTGTCCCAACCTTGTGGCAGAATCACATTTGACATTTGAGTGTAGGCAAATACGACTCTGGCATATGGCCCCCATGGCCTTCCCAGGAGTGCCGTTTTGACGCCGGTGATGTTGCACCACAAAAAGGTGAACCCAGATTCCTCTGAAGGAGAAGTTCGTCGTTGGGCCGTTATAGCTCCGTTTTGATCCGAAAGTGTATGCAAGTGACAATTCTGCAAATTAATAAGTTAGTTATTCTATATATATACTAATTAATATTTAATTAAGTAACTGTTACGTAGATATTACCTCATATAAAGAATCAGCACTTCCAAATATAAAATCAGTGTCTCCTTGAATGTAGCAGTCTTTGTAGTAGTGCTTGCCAATCTCGTCAAATAAGGCATCTTGATGGGACAAAATTTTGCACCCATAGAATGCTGCTCTGTCTCCTGATACTCTTAGTGCCACTGTTTTGTCACCGGTTCCATATGCATTCTGCACTCACCAATTCAAATAAAGTAATGTTAAAATAATATATATAATTCGTCTTCTATATGAAAATTATGCATAAACTTAAAAACAATACGGTTTGGTTTCCTCAATAGAAGCGTAATGTATATACCTGAATTGTGAGTTGGCGTCCTGTAAAATCAGAAGCCCACACAGCAAAGACTGCGGTTTGATTTATCCATCCGGCTTGGTTCCATGTTACTATGGTCTGCTCTGCGTTTGTGCCACTCATTGTTATAAAGGGTTTGTCTACGGGCACAAAAACTTTTTCTCGATAGACACCAGGTCTAACCCAAATCGACACAGGCACGACGTTGTTAGACGGCACGACGTCAATAGCGTCTTGTATTTTAGTATAGTCACCTTTGCCGGACTGATCGATGGTGAGAGAAATTGGTGGGGTTGGGTGTGCTTGAGAGAGCACACCCACCACCATGAAAGCATAGAAGAAGAGCATGGCCATATATGTCCAATAATAAGATTTCGTTGAATTTCGCATGTAATAGTTAAGGTATATGTAGGGTTGCAATCCATGCAGAGCTAGGAGTTCGAGTAGCTAAAACTTTCTGGATTTAGGAAAAGTTAAAACATTATGTTTTCCCCCATTTAATTGGGATTCAGCCTCTCCATGGGAACTTTCCTTTTTTGAAGACCAATGAGCACCTGTTTGCTTTGACTTCTGCCTCATCGATTTGTGCCTTCTGCTGCAAGGAAAGAATTGGCTCAAAGCCTATTTGCTTTTATTTTGTTTTTTAGGTCTGAAAAGAATTGAAAGATTACTAAAACGGGTCTTATGGGTTAGAATCTATTATTAAGATTCTCACCCATTGGATCAATCTGATGGCTCCAATAACTTTTTCGCTTAGAGGCGCTTAAATATTGGTGCTCAGGTCAGGTGAGCCGTTTTCTGACTATATTTATATTAGGTCGACCTCGCTTCTTCTTGTCTTTTGGGCCATAACAAAGCTAGGAGTATGAAGAAACAAATATTTGAGACGATGGCCATGTCTAATTCATCATCTGGACTCAGAACACAAAAGCTGAGTTCAATTTATTATTTAGATGAACTCGAGTGGCTTGTAACTCAAGTTATTAAAAATAATTATTCATGCACATGATTTGGATTCTCCCTCTTCTAATATCACTCGTGTCCAAAGAGAAACGAAAAAACATTACAACACATTTAGCTGGCATTGCTCCTTGATGTTTCAAATGTGGTACTAGATGTAATGGAACACAGGGAGATATGAACCAGGTTGGGCTTGTCAAAGTCCAACAATCATGGCTAGTATTAAAAAATAATGAACATATGGGCATGCATAAGGGCTCCACACATTTCAAATCCATGTGATCGTATATAATTGTGGTCACTGGTCTGATCTTATTTCACGTTAATCAAAACAAATTTGGTCATATAGTTGGAGGCCTTTTAGGTACGACTCAAAAACGTTTTGGTCATATCTCCTTGTTTTCCACTTTGAGATCCGGAAAGACTCATTTCTACTTTACTAATTACAAATGTTTGATTAACAAGCTTAATAATACATGTTATCATAATTGCACTGCTTAAACTGAAATTAATAAATTAGTTAGGTGAGTGGACCATGCTCAATGCCCAATTATGCGTTCCACCAGCAAGCAAAACAAGAGGTTAGATTAGATTAGATTAGATCTCATTAACATTCTATTAGGACTATCTTATCTGAAAGTGAAAGACAAGACCTGTTGCTCTTTAAGTAATTAATTATTTTTTTTATTTTTATTTAATTTGCCTACTCGAAGTTGAAAGCTTAGTGAGTCGGTTTGATGTGAAGCATTAAGTGTATTTAGAAAATTGATGCATGAAATGAAAGTCTAGAATCAAGGAAAAAAGGCGAAGAGATTCAGGCATAAGCACGTGCAAGTGTGACTTGCTGACAGCCTGACACCGACTCGCCTCTCAACAATTTCTGGGTTCCCCGCTCGCTTCACAAATTTCACAAATTCCCAGTATTGCTGCTTGTTGCTTGCTATTGATTAGTCTCCATCAAACTCACACTTGGGTTGGGCGGATGAGGAGGAGTTTCATGTCACGGGTATAGCATAGTATTATTTTTATCCAATCATGTTTTATTATGTCGAAAAATTATTACGTATGACGGAATATGATCAGCGAGAATAACAAAAACAGTGATATCCTATAATACACAATACAAGTTATTCTCGTGGAGCAAAAATTTAAATTGAGTACTATCAAGACCACATAAAGCTTGTGCTTCAAACTCATCTTATTTAACTAAGGGCCAGTTTGATATTGTTGTGCTGAACATAATCGCTGTCAGATTTGCTGTGAGAGAAATCAACTGTGAGAGAAAACAATTTGACATTTGATAAACTTTTTGTTAAAAGTGTTGTTAGTGCTAATTCCCGCATAATTATTAGACCTAGCGCATCTTCGAAACTGATTCTAGCATAATCAGAAAATAAAAACATCTTACTATTTGTTTTCCCGTTTAACTTTCTTTCACAACAATTTTCATCAATAAGTGATTTTCTCATAATCTACCAAACAGATTGGGCTTCCCAAAATTTTTTAAAAATCATTTGTCACTCCAAATAAGTAATGCTAAATAGGCACAAAGAAAAAAAATTTAAAAAATAAGCCTAAGATCTATCTTTTATTTTTTATTGTTATGACTATAAATCTAAGATGACATGGTCTTCCTGGTCCTCACTTCACCACGGGCACTGCTCACACGTGTGGGGGACAGGTGTACTTTCGGCTCTCTGTCGCAACCTTTGAGGCCCGGTTCTTCTTCTTGGCTATTTCAATTGAGTACTATTCTTCTTCTTCTTTAAAAAAGATAAATGAAATAATAATAAGGTTTGCTTGCGGTTCTTATCCTGACTTTAACATAATCACTTTTGCTTCCATCAAAAAAGAAAAAACATAATCACTTTTGCTTATGACAATTTAACAACCTGAATTGATAGTGAACAGTTTATTTATTCTCGACGTAAGGTTTACTTTCACTTCATGTCTTAAAAATGATTTAGGATATCTTAACTTCACTCTCTTTTTTTCTAAGGGGAAAAAAAACTCAATTTCTCGTTTTTAAGATTAGAGAGACTCACTAGTGTATTGGTTTGGAGCAATTGCTGCTCCAGTAAAAATTGTAAGCTCGAGTCTTAACATTCGTGTAGTGCGTCTAAATTTAATATATTTTTTTTACTTTCAATAAGAAATGTCTTAAAATATATATATATATATATATAAAATAGAGAATACTTTTTTTTTTTTTTTGGTCGAAAAAAATAGAGAATACATTATGCTCTCCAAATAATCTTTTTTGGGAGCGCATCCACGGAAATGGGCCCAGTAGTTTAAGCGGCAAAAGAAAAAAGAAAAGAAAAAAGAAAACAGAAAAAAAGAGGCGTTTTAAAGACGAGGAAGGCCTCCTAATCCAAGTAAGAGGAAAAGAGAGCTTTTGTTGTTGTTGCGTTGGAGAGGCAGGGGCGAGTGGAGTGGCCGGACAGCGGTGGCTCAGGTGGTGATGGTTGTAGTGGCAAGGGCGCGCTTGCTGCTGCAACCAACTCTGTTTCCGATCGCCAAATCCACCACAATTCAATTCAATGCAATTAAAAAGAGAGGCTTTCGTTTCGTTTCTTTTCCTTGGATTTAATCAATATAAAATTCCTAAATCACAATCAGCTTCTTTAGCATTGTGCTTCTTTGGCCTTGCCCATATGGCCATTTAGTATATAGCATATGCTCTCTCTCTCTCTCTCTCTCTCTCTCTCTCTCTCTCTCTCTCTCTCTCTCTCGGTGTTTGTTTTTTGTCCGAGACATTGGTGATTTCCTAGAAGCCTCCAAAAATTCCACGCGCGTTTGCCCCCACTTTTGGTACGTACCATCTCTCTCTCTCTCTCTCTCTCTCTCTCTCTCTCTCTCTCTCTCATTTTGAGTTTTGTTGAGATCAAGGGATTTTTCGTGCTTTTTCGGATCTCGAATGTTCGCAGTTTCGGTGTTTTTACCAGCGTTCTTCTTGTGATTTGAGGCTAGGATTGTGAAACATTTGCTACTGGCGCTGTCGCCATTGATTTTCATTGGGTTTCTGATGTGCAGTGTTTGCATTCCTCATGCTTAGAACATGTCGACTTTAATTGCTAGCATTGCCATCGATCAAATTCCTTTTCCCCCCCTTCTAAACGAGTGATTGTTGTGCTGCAACAGTAAAGTTTCAAACTTGCAGTGCTTCCATTGTGATTTTTGAAGAAGACAACGTTCCACTACATATTAAACTTTGAAGCCGATCTTCCAGGTAATTTCTATACTTAGATCTGCCAAACTTACAAACAATATATCAGCTTGAATTCTGGTCATAATTGTAGTGACATTTTTCAAACCAAATTTTTCCTTGTGGTGTTACTATTAGTCCGGTCAGTGATGTCGCTCAAAAAAATATTTCACGAGCTACTGGAGCTTAGAGATGACATGGGGAAAAAATCAAGAAGGGCAGAGAAAAAGCATACGCGTCGCCGAGCAAAATCACACATTGCCCCTGAACAGTCATTATCTTCATTGCCATCACCTGAATTGGTTCCACAGAGCCAATGGGCAAACTTGCCCCCCGAGTTGCTTCTTGACATAATTCATACTTTTTTTTTTTTTTTGGTCGAAAAAAATAGAGAATACATTATGCTCTCCAAATAATCTTTTTTGGGAGCGCATCCACGGAAATGGGCCCAGTAGTTTAAGCGGCAAAAGAAAAAAGAAAAGAAAAAAGAAAACAGAAAAAAAGAGGCGTTTTAAAGACGAGGAAGGCCTCCTAATCCAAGTAAGAGGAAAAGAGAGCTTTTGTTGTTGTTGCGTTGGAGAGGCAGGGGCGAGTGGAGTGGCCGGACAGCGGTGGCTCAGGTGGTGATGGTTGTAGTGGCAAGGGCGCGCTTGCTGCTGCAACCAACTCTGTTTCCGATCGCCAAATCCACCACAATTCAATTCAATGCAATTAAAAAGAGAGGCTTTCGTTTCGTTTCTTTTCCTTGGATTTAATCAATATAAAATTCCTAAATCACAATCAGCTTCTTTAGCATTGTGCTTCTTTGGCCTTGCCCATATGGCCATTTAGTATATAGCATATGCTCTCTCTCTCTCTCTCTCTCTCTCTCTCTCTCTTCCTCTCTCTTTCTCTCCCCGTTTTTTGTCCGAGACATTGGTGATTTCCTAGAAGCCTCCAAAAATTCCACGCGCGTTTGCCCCCACTTTTGGTACGTACCATCTCTCTCTCTCTCTCTCTCTCTCTCTCTCTCTCTCTCTCTCTCATTTTGAGTTTTGTTGAGATCAAGGGATTTTTCGTGCTTTTTCGGATCTCGAATGTTCGCAGTTTCGGTGTTTTTACCAGCGTTCTTCTTGTGATTTGAGGCTAGGATTGTGAAACATTTGCTACTGGCGCTGTCGCCATTGATTTTCATTGGGTTTCTGATGTGCAGTGTTTGCATTCCTCATGCTTAGAACATGTCGACTTTAATTGCTAGCATTGCCATCGATCAAATTCCTTTTCCCCCCCTTCTAAACGAGTGATTGTTGTGCTGCAACAGTAAAGTTTCAAACTTGCAGTGCTTCCATTGTGATTTTTGAAGAAGACAACGTTCCACTACATATTAAACTTTGAAGCCGATCTTCCAGGTAATTTCTATACTTAGATCTGCCAAACTTACAAACAATATATCAGCTTGAATTCTGGTCATAATTGTAGTGACATTTTTCAAACCAAATTTTTCCTTGTGGTGTTACTATTAGTCCGGTCAGTGATGTCGCTCAAAAAAATATTTCACGAGCTACTGGAGCTTAGAGATGACATGGGGAAAAAATCAAGAAGGGCAGAGAAAAAGCATACGCGTCGCCGAGCAAAATCACACATTGCCCCTGAACAGTCATTATCTTCATTGCCATCACCTGAATTGGTTCCACAGAGCCAATGGGCAAACTTGCCCCCCGAGTTGCTTCTTGACATAATTCAACGCTTGGAAGCGAGCGAGACCTCCTGGCCTGCTCGGAGAGATGTCGTTGCCTGTGCTTCGGTTTGCAGGTCATGGAGGGAGATTACAAAAGAGATAGTCAAGACTCCAGAGCAATGTGGCTGGCTTACCTTCCCCATCTCACTGAAGCAGGTATTTTTCTCATAAAACTAGATTTTCAGGTTCTTACATTCTATCACGAACTGACTGAAGATGATTTACTTTCCGCATTACTTGCATATATCTACTAGCCGGGTCCAAGAGATGCTCCGATCCAATCTTGGTCTAAGCCCTGGTAAATGTTTGGATGCTTCTCCCCTTAGTTGTGTGTTAGAAATTAGTGTTCAAATTCTTTCTAAATGAATTTGGTTCCTGAACTATGATTTTAATAGTTCAGTTATACTAATTCCACCATGAGGGTATCCTTGAATTTTGTAGACCGGTTACTAATGATCTCTTATGAATCTACAGCTCTGTCTGGGGATATGAGTAAGCTATTGCTGGCAGCGAGAAAGATCAGACGGGCAACTAGTACAGGTTTTGTGATATCCTTGGTTGCAGATGAATTTTCTCGAGCAAGCAATACCTATGTTGGAAAACTAAGGCAAGCTTTACCTAAATGGATCTTTATCATTGCCATGATTCATTCTTTTTCTTCCTTTTTTTTTCGGTCTTGGTTGTTACAGCCATGGCTCATTCTTTCTTCATTCAATTTATTGGCAAATGCTGAACAGGTCTAATTTTCTGGGGTCCAAGTTTACCATTTATGACAGTCAGCCTCCACAAAACCCAGCAATCCAAACAAATTGTAGGTCACATCGCAGAATCAATTCAAAGCAGGTATCCCCAAGGGTACCTGCCAGCTGTTTTAGTGTTGCTTCTGTATCTTATGAACTCAATATCCTCCGAACAAGGGGCCCAAGGAGAATGCAATGCACCATGCAATCAATCCCCATAACAGCAGTTCAAGAAGGGGGCTTTGCTCCAACTCCAACAGAGTTATCAACTTGCTTAAACCAGAAATGCTCTCCATTGTCCATTTCGCAAGGGAAGAAGCCACTTGCTAACTTGGGCTCTAGTAGTCCCACACTGGATTTGGAACATGGCATGAAGGATCCACTCATTTTGAAAAATAAATCCCCTCGATGGCATGAACAGCTGCAGTGTTGGTGTCTAAACTTTAAGGGTCGTGTTACAGTGGCATCCGTGAAGAATTTCCAGCTGGTGGCTTCTGCAGAGCCTTGCCATAATGTTTCATTGGCTGAACAAGAGAAAGTAATCCTGCAATTCGGGAAGATCGGTAAAGACATTTTCACTATGGATTATCGCTACCCTCTCTCTGCTTTCCAAGCCTTCGCAATTTGCTTGAGCAGCTTTGACACGAAACCAGCCTGTGAATGATTTACTGTCTATTCAAATCATGTGATTATCATGTTCGTCTTCCCTTAGATTTAACTGTAAATACACTTCGTGAAACAAAGCACTTCAGGTTGTGCCTTTTGGTCCATCAGAAAGTGCCTTCATTGAAGTCGCACTAGTTTGTGTAATGGCAGTAACCCATAAAGCATAATGTAAGTTGCCAATTTATTTATATGCACAAAAGCACTTTTTTGCAACTTTCTCCAAGTATGTAAACATCACTCTCATCTTAAAATATAGATCTTATAAAGGTGATATTACATGGTTAGAGAATCCCAATCTCAGTCTGTTCTCTTTCCCCCGCAACTATAGCGGCAGCCATGACGTCGAGGCTTTTCAGGGTTATCTGGGTCTGAGTCACTCGGTTCCAAGAAGAGCCCTCTAAGGCATCGCCGTCTGATGGTGAATTGAGCGTTGTGTGTTTTAAGGGGCTCTGATTTACCATTGGACTTGATGGATCCTGCAGGGTTTTGAGGAAAAACCGCCTCAACACCAGAGTTCCCTTCTGTGACAAAACTATTGAACACAATAGCGTTATTGATGCTCTGTACATTGCTGTTGATATATGCACTCGTTTGTTGATCATCTTGACTTGTCCCGTCCTCAAAACTTCTATCCTTGTTGTTTACCTCTTCATCAGTAGTGGATTCAAGGCTGTCATCTGGATTGCTCTTATATCTGCGGTGTATGTGAACGGATTCTTCTTCTTTTGCTGGTTCTGAGCTTGAGTGCATTGATGCTCCTCTGTTTTCACCAGTTAGGGTGATGACGCTAACTAAATTTTCAAGCATTTGGTTCCCAGTGGCCTGCTTATGAGGTTTGCGAGCATCTTCTCTGATTTGTTTATGTGGGGGAGCTTGTTGTGCAGTTGACGAAACTATATTTTGAAAAGACATCCTTGAGGTGCTTCTGTCTTTTGGAGTTTTGATCGGTTTCGAACTGGAGCTGGTGGTGGTAAAAGTCTCCGTTCTGTCTGAAGTTTCTTGCTTCTCGTGCTGTTCCTCTGCTTGCGATGCAACTCCAACTGGCCCTTGAGTGTGCTCATCTGAGCCTGTTACTGCAGCATGAAGTTGAATGACTGTTTCTTGCATTGGTTCTCCATAACCTGGATCGTTGGTCTTTTCGTCTTTGGTCAGCACTTGCACTACTTTCTTCCCCTCTTTTGACTCTGTCTCTGGTTCTGGAAGCTGCTTTTGATCTCCACCAATGGTATCAGGATCAACCTTCTTAGGTGAAGCAATTGTTTCTGCTTCTGCCAAAGCTGGATGAGTTTGAACGGTGATTTCTCTTGGAGCATTGGAAATAGTTTCAGACGTAACGATTTCTGCATTTGGTTGAGGTATTGCTTCCTTTGGTTCTGGTTGAGAGGCAGGTGATGGGGGTTGAGCAGAAAAGGAAGGAAGCCAAGAGCTCTCTGGAACGGTGGGCTGTGGTTGAGTTTGAGGGGATGATACCTGTGATGCTGCTTGGGAGGGTTGAGAAGCTACACGAGATGGTGATGGTGGAGAAGATTCCACGTCAATTTGAGTTTCAGTTGTTGAACCAGATGGTTTTCGGGACTCATTTGCACGAGATGGAGATGGTGATGGTGGAGGATGCTCAGTTCTTGATGGTGCCTGAGCTTGGGAAGGAGAGGGCTTCACAGGGGCAATTCCTGCAGGCCGAAATGGCGGTCGCTCAACAGGGCCATTGGTGGTTGTCTGGGCAGGGTTTTGGGCTTTAGCCACTGGACGTGGCTCTGGTTCTACTTGAGAACCACGCTGAGAACCACGCTTACGCCAAGAGAACCTAAAGCGAAACGGTTTGCTTTTGTCTGCCATGTATGGTTTGGAAGGGGAGGATTGGCTTTGTTGAAGAAGATGAAGGCAGGGACTGGTATATATTGAAATTGTATCTGATACCTTGGAAACTTTCTGGGACTTGTTTAATTTTGGTTTATGCCTTCTCCAATTTTCTGCTTCTTTACCTTACCTCTCACAAATATTTAGTTATGATTTATTGGAAAATAGGAATGCTAGTAACCTTCTCTTTTGGACATTCTCCATTCTCCTCATGACAAGTGTCACTTTCCTTACACTTAAAACAATATCATTAATGCCTCACACAAGTTAGTTTTTGTTTTACAAGTTTATCCTTATTAAATGTATTAGCTTTTATATATCCTTGAATTTTGTTACAACTTCTTTAGAGCATCCACAATGGGCTCTCTAAACCACCTCCTTAGACAAATTTTAGGGAGAAATGATAAAAATGCAACTCCAATCACGCTCTCTATCCACCTCCTAAAATAGGGAGTCCTCTAGGAGCTCCTAAATCTGAGGAGAGAGAAATAACTCCTAGTGACTCCATATAATTTAATACTGCTTTATTTAATGAGTATTTCAAACTTTTATTTAATGCTAACCATTTTTTATTTTATTTTTTAATAGAGATGGACCAATCAAAAAAGAGTTATAGCATTTATGACTCTCCAAATTAGGGAGTATGGTTGGAGTTGAAATTTTGTAGAGAGCTCCTAAAATAACTTTCTTAGAGCATCCACAATGATGCTCTCTATTTCTTAGCTAAAATTTGGCTAAGAATATAAGAAAGCTATTTTAGGAGCTCTCTAAAAAATTTCAACTCCAACCATACTCCCTAATTTGGAGAGTCATAAATGCTATAACTCTTTTTTGATTGGTCCATCTCTATTAAAAAATAAAATAAAAAATAGTTAGCATTAAATAAAGGTTTGAAATATTCATTAAATAAAGCAGCATTAAATTATAGGGAACCATTAGGAGTCCTTTATCTCTCCTCAGATTTAGGAGCTCCTAGAGGACTCCCTATTTTAGGAGGTGGATAGGGAGCGTGGTTGGAGTTGCATTTTTACGATTCCTCCATAAAATTTGTCTGAGGTGGTTTAGGGAGCCCATTGTGGATGCTCTTATATTCTTAGCCAAATTTTAGCTAAGAAATAGATAGCGTCATTGTGGATGCTCTTAGAGAATCCACAATAAACTCCCTAAATCACCTAGATAAAATTTAGGGAGGAAGTAAGAAAACCCACCTCCAACCATGCTCCCTATCCAGCTCCTAAAATAGAGAGACCTCTAGAAGCTCCTAAATCTGAGGAAAGATAATGAACTCTTAATGGCTCCCTATATTCTAATGCTACCATATTTAATGAATATTTTAAAACCTTTAATCAATATTGTCTATTTTTATATTATTTTTTCATAGAGATTGATCATTTATGTTGAATTAAAATATAATTCTAGCATTTATAACTCCCTAAACTAGAGAGTATGATTGAAGTTGAAATTTTATAAAGAGCTCCTAAAATAACTTGTGTGTTTTTAGCTAAATTTTTACTAAAAAATAGAAAGTATGATTATAAATGCTCTTAGCACATTGTTAAAAATTAAATAAGAAAAAACATCATTTAAAAAAAAAAAAAAAAGTTTCTTTCATGACATTGTTATCATGAAAGTAATATCATCAATATTTTGTGTTTAACAAAACATATGTCCTCTTTGGATAATAAAAAATAAAAAAACTTCAGTTTTTATTTTCTTATTTAATTTTTTAACAAGGTAGTAAGAAAGTTGTAAAAAAACTAACTTGTTATTATAAAGAGTTAATATGTTCAATAAGGATAAACTTGGAAAACAAAAACTAGTTTGTGTAATACATTAATGACATTGTTTTAAGTGTAAGGAAATTGACACTTGTCATGAGAAGAAATGAGAAAATCCAAAAGAAAAAATTAGAAAGAAAGTTACTAACATTCCTATATGCAATTTCCCTAGACAGATTTTCCTCCTCTAGTAGGACTGGAATCTCACTCCACTTTTGGGCAGATCTCCCCAAAAGGGAATGCAAAGTATATATACTTGCCGTTTTAAAGAGCAAAGTCGCAGTCCACGTGATACTTAAAAAGAGCTGCTACTCTTTGAATATTTCGCCGGTTTTTTTTCTTCTTTTAATTGAATCATAACTAGCAAATGTGAGTTATACCAGTCAGCAAAGGCAGTGAGTTCGTATTTTTAAACTTAAGTTGGAATGTAAAAACAAAACACAAAAAACTATCTGTGCCTTGATAAAATTGAGATGAAGAATTCTTACTATAGGCATTGCTGAGGGAGCTGGCTTTCCAAATAACCTGGACAAGTAACCTGAAAATGAAGTAAAATCATTTTAAAAAATAAAACAAAGTTTCCTTCATGCGGCCATTCAAGAAAAGAATACGATGAAAACACATTTTCAAGGAAGAGATTACGTACATCAACATCTTCTGCTGCTACAGTGAATTCCTATACATGAGGCAGCTCCATTCCCTTTGCTCCATCATAAGCAGAGCTTCCAATAAATTCTGAGCTAGCTTTCTCATCTGCCCACCAAGGTCTGTATCAATAATTTTCCGCATATACTTAGAAGTTTTCATGAAATTATTATTCTTTTTAAAGTATAAATTTTCCTTAAACAGGAATTATAATGCAAGGAATTTCCAGGGCCGTTCGATCATGCCAGGAAATACTCAAGGCTGCAATTTTACAGCATGCGCAGGGGAGAGAAATTGCTGGAATTGAAAAGATAGTTTCAAGTTTAAAATGGGTTACCTCTCCACCTGCACAGCAGAAAGGATTAGAGAATGTGACTGTGGCAGATGTTCTGATGACAAAAGGTGAACAAACTGGACCTTGGCTCTGGTGCCACACAAACGACATTGTAATTGATGCCGTCAAAAATGTACGCCCTCCCTGACAATGTATCTGTAATATGAATTTCATACTAATACTCATTTTAAAGTAAACTAAATATGAGAGTGAAATTGCAGATGGCTAAAAACAATGTCGGGTCATTAGTGGTACTGAAGCCAGGAGAGCAACAATACATTGCGGGGATCATCACAGAAAGAGGTAAAATTATTTACAAAAACTTGGATCAAATTCTCTGATTCAACAATAAAATAAAAGTTAAATCTGATTCTTCTATTCTATTGATGGTGGCATAACCAAGCAGACTATTTGAGGAAGATAATTGCACAGGAAAGGTCGCCCAACCACACTAGAGTTGGCGAAATTATGACTAATGAGGTCAGTTTTAAGTTTAACGTACAGACTAATTACTCTACTTGGACGCCTTGACCAACCATTTTCATTCTAAATTCAACCAAACTGTTTACCTTTTAACAGAACAAATTAATAACAGTGACATCTGACACAAACATTCTTCAAGCAATGCAACTTATGACAGGTAAAGCAGCCAAGGCCGCAATTTCTATTCTGTAAGAACTACCAATAGAAATTAAAGTGAAAATAAATGATGACTTTTTATGTCACAGAGAATCAAATAAGGCATGTTCCAGTTATAGATGGGAAGATAGTTGGCATGATTTCAATCAAAGATGTAGTTCGAGCAGTAGTGGAGCAGCAAAGTGGGGAATTAAAGCAACTGAACGAGTACATAAGAGGAAAATACTATTAGAACCTATGATCCATCTAAGTTTTTATGTTCATCAAATTATTGTAACACAACATCAATACAAATTTGAAAAATCACTGGCCAGTGGCCAGACTTCAAAGCGAAGCCCAAGTTCAATATCAATGAGCCCAATGGTTTTGAAGAACCTGCTAGTAAGTCGCAGTCACTAGGCCAGCAGACCAAAAACAAGAAGTGCCACAACATGGTCTTCGACAAGAAGTCGGGCCACGGAATAAAAACAGTGAATATAAGTGCACAAATACAAATATTCATGATCCCATTTGCCTCCAATTTCGAAAGCAACATTTCATTATATACTCTATCTGGTATAAAACCATAGATAAGTTGTAGATTCAATTTCAATTCCTTAGGGTCAGACTGATTATGTTCGGCATGCCATAAAGCATATATCATCACCTCTCTATCAATCACAAGATTGCACAATTCCTATTGGCTGGCAAATGAACCTAGCGTCCACTCCTTATCTTTTCGAACTTTCTATCAACAACGGGATTCTTTCTCCAAGTAGATTCAGCAATCAAAAGACCTCTCGATTTTATTCAAAAATTCCCCTCTTAGAGCGGTCCTCCATGCTCAAAGCTTTTTGGTGGTAGATGATTGGACCTTGTGTGGGGAAGCTGGGCTCCAATTCGTGAAAAGTCATTGGTTCTTGTTCGGCTAGTCCTAGTCCTCAGACCAAATACCCTATTTCTATGGCTAAAGACATTAAGATGTCAAAAGTTTGGTCCTCAAAAGTCATGGACTGTGAAAGGAACATCTGCTTTCTATATATTTATAGCGAATGCTATTCCCACTCTCACTTTGTCATCTTTCATTTTTTTTGCGAATTATATGATTTTGAAGTGTAAAATGACAATTCAAGTGTAATTTTTAATCCTTCATTCTTTTTGTGAGTTCTTTATCATGATAATATATTGATTTTGAAGTGTAACATAAAAAATTAGAGAGTGAAAAAGCAACTATCTATTTTTGCTCATTTCTTGGAGCTAGGGGGGAGACCCTACTGTACTAGTCAAACAATTTGGTGAGGTGGGGAGAAAACTAAGAATAGAGATTCCACAAGAATTAAGAAGAATCACAACTTTCGCTGAAGTGGACTTGAGATAATAAAAATTCAAAGTATCAAGATTTGGTGGTTTTTTTACTATAAAGATTTCAAGCACATTTACCTGAATATGTTGTTATCCCTTGGCCGGGCCCCGCCTTAATGCTTGCAGCATCTCAAGCCAATAATCCGAGCAAGTTGTCTAAATGGAAGAAACCCCATTAGACTCCTGCTGCTGATTAATAACCTGTTGCACAATGTTCATAATGCAAACCAAGTCAAACACAAAATACAGAAGCCCCATAACCATTAGCAGAAAAACATGCATGTCATTGGATTGATTTGTTGCAACTTTTCCAACTCCAACAATGATTACGGGCCTGTGCCTAACATTGATTAGAGTCCACTATGTTTATGCGGCTAAGAAAAGAAAAAAAAACAAAACTCCCTCATGTTGAAGAGTTTGAACCCCAAAAAGCGCACACACGTTGAATTTAGATCGGTGGTGATTGGATGTCTACCTCTTTTTGACAAACACAACATTAGGTGCTAAAATCAAAAGAAAGTGAAGTAGGAATAACTAAAATCTCAATTATAACTTACATTAGATTGGTGTTTATGCAAGGAGTTAGGAGAAAGTAGGTGAAGAAGTTGAAGAAGTAATTGAAAATAAGTAATGTCAGAGGAATCACATTTTTCATTGGAATGTGTGACTGTTAAAGTGTATTAGTTACATCAATAATTGTAACTAATTATTAATTAACACATAAAATTGTTAGAAAAAGGCTGAGAAATTTAGAGGAGATGCTGTTTTGGTGTTGGCTGAGAAGAAAAGTACCCTTTTCTATATTTTGTTTTGCTAACACTTGAGGGTGGATTGGGTATTTGATATATGAGATGCGGCAATTGTTGAGAGTATTTGTCCCACATTAAAAAATTAAGGGACTTAATCTGAGTTTGTTAAGAGTTGAGTTACTCTTCCCACAGCCAATTGGTTTCAGGATGAAACCTCAACTTCTTTCATGATATCAGAGCAAGACTTCACGTGTTGGGCTCAACGGCTATACATGCTCCCACGCCGCTTAATATGTGTTGTCCATGTGTTAAGCTTCAAAGTTCACCACACATGCATGGTCATGTTAAAAGTATTTGTCCCACATTAAAAAGTTAAGAAAACTAACCTGAATTTATAAAGAGTTAGACTACTCTTCCATTACCAATTAGTTTTGACTTCCTTCAACAATGAGAGATAAATGTGGACCACACCAGACCACTTGTTTCTAAGACCCCTACTATTAAATGCGTATAGTAAAGGCAAGAAAACTTGTCCAGGGAAAAAAATTAAAGATTGCATGGATCATTGACATTGACTATTGCAGGAAGTAAACTGCCCCTCCTACACAAAACTGACACAGGATCTAAAGAGCAACACTTGGTTGACCCTGGTGGTGATTCTCAGCTGTCCATCCCGCAAAATAAAATTTTGGAATGTTGCTAAGAAGGTGTTTTGAAACAACATTTTCCAAGTTCCAATATTCAATTACGTACAAATCTCACTCTCCTTTATTTTCTACGTTACCTAATAGGAGGCCCCACCTCCCGCGAGGCACTACTGCTTTTTTGAAACTTGTCCTTCGATTCTGACATGTTAAAGGATATGGAAGAGTAAATGTAACAAGCAATTGACAAAGAAAAAAAATTCAACAATTTCCTTCATGCACATGACGATGATGTTCTTCTTCTTGTTTTCATTCAAATCATATTCGTCATCTTTGTTGTCTACTTCTTATGAGATGAAAGCTAAACTCGCAGCACATTTCTAGATGCCATGCCTACATACCATCTTTCCATGTCTATTTATTTCTAGCAAATAAATAATAATATCACTATATTAACTAAGTCCAAGAGAAGACAGAGTATCTTCTTACGTACCTGTTTTGTTGCGGGTTTCAAACGAAAGGTGGAGGTTCAGATTGTAAGCGCATCTACGTTAATGGGTAGACTTAGAATTGGGATCTAATCCCCACCAGGCTGTAAATTCTCAAAAAATTCCACTTTCTGATGATGAGATATTATAATGAGTAGACACAGACCTTGTAAAATATATAAGCTCCTTTCGCTTATTGTCCTTCTTAGCGTTGATCAAGGAAGCGAATCACATCCTGTTTTGTCCCTATAATATTCGCCAACTTGCACAGCCCCACGAGTCTCTCCTCCTGCTTATAAGGAGCATGGCAACCTCTTGCCCATACCATCATCGCCTTGACTTCAGTCTTCTAACTTGACTCCAAACGCCATACACGTTATCCACTCTCACCATACTTTTTCCTCTTCATCTTCTGACTTGGCTCCTCTGAGAGCGGCTCAGTGACCTTACCAGTTCAAAATTTTGGTTCATATCTTCACCTAAGAGTAGATTGAATAATGGCATCTCTCTCTTCCTCAAGGAACTCCTCCTGGACACCAAAGCAGAACAAATTATTTGAGAAGGCTCTGGCTGTGTATGACAAGGACACACAAGACCGCTGGCATAATGTGGCCAAGGCTGTGGGTGGAAAATCTGTAGAGGAAGTAAAGAGGCACTATGAGATTCTGGTGCAGGACCTCATGCATATAGAATCTGGCCAAGTCCCAATACCCAATTATAAGGGCACTGGAAGCAGCGGCAGCAGAGGAATTGGTGATGAGCAGAGGTAAGAACAATGCTTTCATGTTTAGCAATTATCCTTACTTTCTAAGCATTCGAAGTTAATCCATGCTGTCTATTCTTCCTTCAGTGGTATCTAGGACATCCTAGTTTAGAAAATGTGTTGGGGGACTCTTCACGGTCACATTGTCATCTACCAAGTTATCAATCAGTAAGGTCCAAGACTTATAAATAAATAAATAAATTAGGAACCCAGAAGAGATGTCCAAGTATGAATCTGTTTTACAAACTTATATGAATATTAGAGACAGGTACAATTGCATGTAGTGATGGAAATGGCAAAAATGGCAAAAAATGGCAATGCATGAAAAGCTTAAAACCAATGGTACTGATAGGAGCTGCTAAAAAGCCAAAGAAGAGCAGAATATTAAGTCAAATTCTAGCACTATTAGCTGAAATACCTAAACGGCTGGTAACAAGTCCCACCGTATCCTTTCCATAATATCATTAACCAGCTTTTCCTCTTTTGGGATCGACAGTTCTAAATAAAGACAGTGACTTGAGTCTCCTCCCCAAGAAATTTTATATGTTTTCTCTAATTCTTTTGTATATCTATCCACTATCCCATACTATATTCAACTTCAATTCCTAAGAAAAAGCCCACATGGAATCTAATCCTTACTTGTTTTGGATCTCATATGCACATGGACCTATGATTAAAGTAATTGATTATAGTCACCCGGTTCTTCCTAAATGTAGATGAGGATCATTGTGTGACGCCGAACTCTCGTTTTTAATTACTTATCACATTCTTACATTAATCCCAAGGGCTTGCTCGCAGTCGACAGTGACAGTTGGATCTAGCTAAACCTCTTGGCAGCTTTTGTAGTTCATCATATATTTATAATTTTATATCACACACAATTACACACTGCAGTAACCAATGTATTACGTCGGCAGATAATTTCAAAAATAGGGCATCTTCCTTCAAAACGAAGCTCCCCACCATAAAGAGGCTAATTATGTCTAAATGGGTGAGATTAGCAAGATAATGGTGTCTTGGGATAATCTAATTGACCAGTTCAAACTTAAAAGATGCTAATTGTTGCAAAAGCAACTACGATTTTCTATGCTCACTTGGTAATTGGGAATTTTCTAAATTTCTAATGCTAATTCCTTGTAACCCATTCAGGCTTATGAAAAACCTAAAGATCTGATGCGACGGCCCAGAAGACTTGTAAAAAGACAAAACGGATTGCCCTGTCATTCCGCCTTCCTACCTATACCAAGTTTGGATGTGTTTCTCTGCTCCTACTTCAAATGTCGTCTACTTATTGTAATGATTTTCTGCAAGAAAATATATATATATATATATATTATGTGTTTTGTTTGGTATGCTATGCTTGATTTCCTGTCTCTAAAAACAACAATCTGACCACAGAGAGAGAGAGAGAGAGAGAGAGAGAGAGAGAGAGGCAACAAATTATTAATTAACACATCCACAGACAATGCATCGGTCGAGCAATTCCTCGATAAGATTGTGTACTCATTGTAGGAAATTTAAAAAATTCGATTTAACTAATGGATTAAATATGATGAAGCAAATAATAAGATAAGATTAGCTGCAATGTATCATAATCAAATGCATAATAGGCAATAATATCAAATTGGGAGCTTCGTCCACTGACCTCTAGTCCTTTGGAAGACTGCACCGCATGCTATCAAGAAAGTCCAATTCTTCCAATCGCATGTAAGAAGTGGTGACTGAGATAATCGGCGATCTGGAGAGGAAAGCAAAATAATTTTGAAATTTCGGAGAGGAACGGCCAGAAAGAGAGCAATTAGGTTTGAATCGCCAGCTCGATCCGGTTTCCTTTTAAGAGATGTACGATCAGATTGGTTCGAAGGAAAGGCGGGAAAACAATTCGTTTTGGGTTTGGATATTAAAAAATCTGGCACTACGATGTCTGAAATACGAACCATCGATTTAATTGTTGCTTATTAAATACAGCGATCGAGGCCGTCTATTTTGGCTTGAAATTTTGAAACGATGAAATTCAAGAAAAGGGAGTTGAGGGATTCATAAATTAAAAAAAAGGGACAGCATTACTACTGTCGTTCTACTTCGCTTTTATTCACAAAAAAGGGAAAAATGGAGATGCGGGGTATCGATCCCCGTACCTCTCGCATGCTAAGCGAGCGCTCTACCATCTGAGCTACATCCCCACATGCTGAATAGTGTGAAAACAAAGTTCTAAAAATACAAAAGCAAAAAAAGTTAATGGGCCATCCTTACCACATTATTTTGGGCTAGGTCGACCTGGCCCACCAATGCTGTTTAACGTAACCCAGAGCCAAAAAATACGTGATGCCATACCAAGTTTATCTCGTTGTCATGTCGGAAAATTAAAATACCGTAATTGTCTCGGGATATCACATAGTAGTATCTTTAGCATAGGAAAGTTTTTCTCCAACCACACCACACTCGAGTTTATCGGTTTTCATACAATTCACTTCTAAAATGGGAGCTTTTCCGTTTGGTGCCAGTCTAAATTTAGCATTTCTGATCACTTTCTCCGTAAACATTGACTGAAGATAAGCCTCAGGATTCGTCACCTTAGAGTCTATAAAAAAAGAATCATTTCTACCCTAATCTTCATACAACTTTTTGTTTGGAGGAACTAGTAAAAAAAACCCAAAAAAGAATCAGAAAACAGAAAACAAAAAGAAAACAGAAAAACATGGGAAAGAAGACCGCGTTTGTGTTGATTTTTGCATTGGTGGTGCTTCTGTCAATCCATACGGTGTTGGGTGATGACAACTTCGTGGAAAATGCCAAGGATCGTATCACCGATGCTGCTTCAGCGGCAAAGGGCGCAGCAGAAGGCTTATCAGAATCTACTTCTGATGCCTTCAAGGAAGCGAGGGAGACCACATCAACATGGACTGAATGGTTTAACGGCAAACTCAAGTAAGTTTCTGGCGTCTTTTTTATTTTTCATTTATTTATACAAAGCATTTAATGGGTACTAATTGCCGGTGCTTGTCGTTTTAGGGATATGGGTATCAAGGATGATGATTCAGACGACACAGATGACGCAAACGCACCCGAATCAGAATAATCTACAAATATTTTTTAACCTGTAATTACTACTTTTTTTTTCTTTTTCTTTTTAAATTTGGACCAATATAAACCTCGTTTAACGTTGCTTGACACGGGGTGAAATATTAAATTTAAATGGGCCTCACATGAGATGGGTTGAGGCTAGAGAAAGTGGATTCCATGTATTATTCTCTGTAAAATAAAAGATTGAATAATTTTGTAATCAAAGAATGCACATACGCAATTCACGAATCACGAGGTTCTAAATTTGCTGTCCAATAATTCAAGTTTTTTCTCTCCGCAATTCGGATTAATGCGTCAAAATTAAAATCTAGACAATAACAATTGCCGAATCCCCGAAAAACGTGGCGCAAAGGGCCCAAAGATTAACGCTGCCACAAAATTTTGCCTTTTTCGGCTCAGGCCCACAAGCTCTCAGTGGGCAAGGGATTTGATAGCAACGAGACTACCTTCTTCTTTGTCAAACTCAACGCTTTTGATCACACCGTTAAAGGTAACCAAACAAGCGTTAGTGGCCGTGTTGAGATTGAGGGAGACGCCAAGTGCATTGCCCAACTCTCCACGTCCGTCGGATAACATCATGACCCTATCCCCAACGGCCAGATTCTCACCCCACGCCCTCATCACAAACACGTCGCTGGCCGCGACGCAGGCGATCAAGTCCGAGCTCTTACCTCTCGCCGATGCAACCCGTTTCACGAACCGAGTGCAACGCGGAGAGAACGGCGCCGAAACACCCACCAAAACGACTCTCTTGCCTTTGCAGAGGGTTGAGAGAGAGATGAGCTTGGCCCCGTCGTTTGGGTCGAGGTAAGAGAGGGTTATGTTTGGGAGCTTAACGCCTATGCAAACTGATAAGGGTTTGCTTCGTTTTGGGGGGATCATCAGGGGGCGAGGATGGACGATGGAGATGGAGCCATTCGGGGGTGGGCCCGGTGGGCCATAGAGGTTGAGAAGAGAGGATCTTTGGGACCTAGGGAGGGTTTTGTGTAGGTTCCAAGAGGTTGAGATGGATTTGTGGGATAGTGAAAGAGAGAACTTTGTTTGGTGAGGATTTGAAGAAGAAGACGATGAACTCGGAGAGGATGTTTTTGGTACTGTAGCAAATGTAGCTGCAATGTTGTTAACAGAGGCAGCCATGAAAAGAGACATAAAGATTGAGCGGCTGCGATGGTAGTGGTGGATAGATGATGGGTTCACAAGGCGAAAATGAGATTTGTTGGGTTTAACTTAATGATGGTTTGGTTGAGAAAGGAAAAATCTAGAAAATGACATTACCTTTTTCCCTTTTCTTGGTTTTCCCATCCGTTTAACATTTTCCACATTTTCCTTGGGCAGCAATCAAATGATATTTAAAAATTAAAAAAAAAATGCCACAGAGAACAGTAAATCAGATAATGGGAATTCGATTCGACCTTAGGTGTGAAGGGACACAGATTCAGTCTTTCTGACCAACTAGTTTAATCCACTTAAATTAGTTATTTAAGTATGATGCTACATAGAGAAAAATATTAATGAATAATCCGTTAGAAGCATTTTGTGATCAGAATTAAACCGAATTCAGAATAGGGATTAATTCCACTATTTGGGTGTGTAGACACCTCAAGGTATTTACAAGAAAAATATTATCCCCCCCAATCTAATCTTGTTTCAGTGTTTAAGTGTAGAGGGCAGTTGGAAATGTAACAAATACTATGCAGAGGAGGAGGAAATAGCCCAACAAATAAAAGAAGGCCGGGCCTGATTCGGTCATGTATCTCTAAACTCATATTGGACCTGTAACATTCAATGAAGGGACCAATAAAACCAGGTCTAACGTCAACACGCCAGGTATTACAAAAAACTCAGAAGACTGGGCCCTACCAAGCTTCTGGCAATGCACACTCATAATCACCATTTCAAGGTTTCAACACAATTCCATGGCATGGGAAAACTAGCACAGGACATTCCTGTTAAAGAAGAAAATAAAGCTGGATATTCAAAACAATAACTGAAGGTGTCTCTTCTTCACTGAAGAATAATAATAATAATCATCATGCAAATATCTGATCTGATCTAGCTAAGCTAGGCCTCTTCATTTAATTTATACAAAATCTCACTTACTCTTCATCCCCTACCAATTAAGTGCCAATCAAACCATTAATTTATCATCAAATCATCCATTGATCTGTATCTTCAGCTGTTGTCCCTCCCTCCCTCCCCTCCTCCTTCTTCTTCAGCTTCAACATTCTCAAAAGACAGACTTGTTGTTGCGGGGGTGGTCAGAATATCACTCTGCTTCTTGGCACTGTTCTTGTTGTTATGCATCCAAACCCTCAGCACCTGCCTCTTCACGCCCACCTCCGAGCAGAACCTCTCCACCTCCTCCTCATCTTGCTTCTGAATCCTCCACCCCACCTTCTCTGCAAACTCCGTCATCCTCTCCTTCTGCTCCTGCGTGAACTTTGTCCGAAACCGCTTCTTCGACATCGCAAACGGCGGCATTGGCAATCCCCCCTCCGCATTGTTCGACTGGAACACGTTCAGATCCTCGCTCGAAGACTCCGTCCCTCCTCCACCGCTCCCGAACGCCACATTCATCGGCTGGATAATAGGAGCCATTGAAAATTTCTGATGGTGGTGGTGGTGATGGTGGAGAGCAGACGAAGGAGACGGCAGTGGCGGGGGGAGTTGGAGAGGGCTCAGCATTATGCTTGAGCGTCTGGACCCGGGGCTGAACGCCGTCGTTTCCCCGTCCACCTCCTTTCGGTGGAAGTTGCGGTGGCAATCACATGCGGCGCATTTCAGAGCTTCCAGTGTTCCTTCCTCACCGCTCGGCATGAACTCGCCGCACCCATCAAACACATTGCCGCCTATGTTGGCCGCATGGTTCTTGAGGCACTCTCTGTAGCGGATGATCTTTGAAGTCGACTTGGGCCCACCACTGGCAAGTACAGTTGGCGGAACTGGGGTTCCGGCTAGGGCTCGATCTGGATCTGGGTCTCGGATGAGGGGTTGCAAAGGTGGGTGTGGGTGTTGAATGTGGTGGTCTAGGGTTTGATGGGGGCTGGTAGCGTAAGTGTTGTTGCCATTGTGAATCCCGACCCTTCTCTTTTGATGATCTGCTGCTGCTGCTGCTGCTGCTGCGGGTGATGATTCTTTGGTACTTAAATGATGAGCAGAAGAGGCGTAGCTCAAAGAGCCTGACGTCCTCATTTCGTTATCTTGGGGTTGTGCTCTAAAATCCATAACTGATGCCTACAAAAATGTTATTTAATATGGAAAGCTGGCAAAAAGCATCTCATTTATCTCAACCCAGTCTTGTACTTTCTTGGGGTTCTGAGGCTTCTCTCTAGCTAAGCTCTCCTCAAATTAATTTCCCAAAAAAAAAAAGGAAATAAAATGTTTAAATAATATAGATGACAAAAGAAGGTAGAGCTAAACTTTTAATATCGTATTCCTAGTATTGTCCCCAACCAGTTTCAAATATCTGATTCGAACATATACATATATTAGGGTGCTAATCCCACCAAAACCCCATATCGTAATCTTCAACAGTTGCTGTTAAAAACCCAAGCTATGAGAGAGAGAGAGAGAGAGAGAGAGAGAGAGAGAGAGAGAGACGAAATTGCATATGAGTCTCAAAATACAAAACAAAGGAGAGATTAAAACTACAATGAAACCAATTAACTCACAATTGTAAGAAAGAGACAGAGAGAGAAAGACTTAAGTAGCTGAAAGAGCACCTTAAACATCACTGCCTGAACGTCTCTAATGGCCTCCAGACATGTAAAATCAAAAGCATAATAAGCAGAGAGAGAGAGAGAGAGAGAGAGAGAGAAATGAGTTGGGTTGGGTCCTTTGGGATATTGGTGCTTTCTGTGCCTCTGTGCTTCCAACAAGAGACAGGTTGGTTGCTTGTGGTGAGGCCAGCGGGAAGGATAAGAGTCCAACCAAGTAAGTAAGTAGTGCAAAGAGAGAGAGACAGAGAGAGGTTAATTAGGAAGAGGGTGGGTTCGTAGTACACTACACTGCACACACACTATTAACTCTCTCTCTCTCTCTCTCTCTCTCTCTCTCTATCTGCTTTTCTATGCAATTGCAAGTTTGCAGATTACAAAACAACCGACAACGTCATGTTCAGACCTCTCCCACGCCCTGCCAAGTGGGTCCCATCCCCCTCACCCTTCATTATTGCCCCTTTCCATTTCTTATCTCAACACCCTTCTCCCCATAAACCACCCAACACATACATACATACCCCATTTTCAGTACTGCTACTCCTTTGATGCGACGTAGCTAGCTAGCTATAGCGCTTTTGCTTCCTTAATCCTACGCATATACCAACAAACTAAACTTACGTACCCCTAATCTCTAAGTGAGGAGATTCACGCAATTTAATTAATTAAGGGTAATTTAAGTTTACTATTCTTAATTCGAATCCATGCAAAAATGACTAAACAAAGATGGGTAAAAGTGAAAAGTTGATGGTCCACAGTAGTGGCCTTGTCGTGTTGCTTCTTTTTTTTTTACTTCTTTTTTTCTTCTGTCTGTGTCTCTCATCTCATCTAATTCATTGATTTAATTTCATATATATGATGCTGCTGTGCTGATGCTGCTGCTGCATCAGAGGGAAAAGAAACGAAAGGAAAGGAAAGGGCTAACGTGCGGGTTCTGCACACCCTCTGAGACAAATCACGCTTGCTTGCTTGCTTTGCTTGCTTGCCCCAACCAAATCGAAGAGTCTTTGCTTGCTTGGTACCTTTCTGTGTCATGCAATCGATGGCCTTTCTCTCTCTCTCTCTTGCCTTGACTCTATAAACACTTTTCTTCTTCATCACTTTCTTTGTACAGTCTACAGCTTCTTTCCACCAATTATATTCCACCTTCAACCAATTTCTGCTTATTTTCATTTCATTTTTACCCAAACGTACAGAAATAAAGGAGGGTAAGTAACAAGTAATTAATAATAAAAACGGTAATAACTTACTCTTCAATAAAATTAATCCTGCATGTATGCACCTGCTCCGGAATAAATGAATAACTTCGTATAGCCAATAACATTCTAGCACATGGCATTTTAAATTTTCAGAACTATATTAATTCAATCCCCCCAAAAATAATCTGCTATATGAGTGTCACATTTATTTCCGAAATTCAACATTTTTGAAACATTTGCATGACTATATTAATTCTAAGGTTTTTTTTTTTGTCTCACTCTTTTATCAGTGGGTTACCTCCAGGTGTCCAGAACCAGAAGTCAATGTTTTTTATAAAAAAAATTAAGATAAGAGAAGCTTATCCAATTATGCTAGGCATGTCAGAATTGTGATTATTTAAATACCAAAAAAGAAGGACATGAAAAAAAAACCCTAATAATAGCGTACTTGCAAGTTGCAAGCACGAGAGTCCGTGAATATATAACTCCATCAATTTATTTGGTGGTTCCGGTTGGGTCAGAAACGAGAATTGTGAGAATAAATATATGTAGGTTACATTACAGGTCAGCTACGTCTTCAAGTTCAAATGGGAGTTGCGCAATACGAGCGTACAAACGACAACGTTTTTGGGCCTCGTAGTTTTGACACTGAATGGGTAGGGTAGGGGTACAACTGTGGCCAGCGATATTTAAAAAGGAGTTTCACTAAAACATCCAAAATGAGGGTTGAAATTATAAAAAAACTCAAAGACTATTTAAACATATAAACACACCCAAAACCCATCTATAAACACACCCAAAATGTTGACTTTGGAGTTATTTTGGGTGTGTTTTTATATTTAAATAGTGTTTGGAATTTTTTATAAATACATGTCTAAGATTGAGTTTATTTATAAATTTATATATTTAAAAATGGTAAATGTGGCCCACTCCTTTTGATATATACCCATCCCATCAACCTGGGAATACAACATCAACTAAGCCCAATGAGGTCTCGTTTGGTGGGTTGGCTTGAACTGAATAAGATGGGCTTTGAAGTATTGAGTTGAGTTGGCTTGAACTGACTAGATTTTGAGTCCAGTCCCGTTTATTTTTGCACCAAACAACGAACAATAATAAAAAGAGCCACCATTGTTGCAAAATTGTAGCGTCCTCTCTCAGTGAGAAGAGAACTCATAAACTCACAAAATCAAATGGAGAAGAGAACTCATAACATCAAACAACATTAAACCCAAAATCAAACTCATATCAAGATTTTAAAAACAGGGAAAATAAATAAATTAATCTCAGGTCAAAGTCAAACCAGATGGGATGGAATGGGAAGGTGGCTGAAAGGGACGACATAATAGCCTTCATTCTTAACCCACGTCTGGGGTTGGATTTCGAAGCCCTAGTTATTTGGGACTTGAATCCAAGTATCATATCCACTTGAATCCAAGTATCATATCCAGTATAAGACACATTTAAACTTCACCAAACAATGGTTAGGATCCATGTTCATTTTAATTGGAGATATCTCATCTAGTTCAACCCACCAAACAAGGCACGAGGAGTTCAATCCCACTATCAAACCATTTAAAATGTTTAAGTCCTTTGATTTCTTCACATTTGTTAACGGTCGGATTGAACCCTTCAAATAAGATCCTCACTCTATAAACTCCTCGTTATAGGCTACAGCCTTTCCATTTGATAATGATGTATTTTTAAAAAGGGCTTCCTTATTCACATCACACTCAAGATTCCAAATTTTACTAACCATTTGAGTTACAGACGCACTGCTAATATTAGGATTACTGACCTTTTACTCTCATTTGGAAAGAGAAATTTATTTATGACACTTAAGTAGCATATTGACATGGTGTATATATAATTATACAAGATAAATACGTTACAATTGTTGTAATTATATATATACTACTTTGAACTTATTCAAACTCATCATCAACCTCTTAGTTGGTTCATCAAACTTTGAATCTCTTCAAACGTTAAGTTTAAATCAAGAGCTAGTTGGTTCATCAAACTTTATCATTCGGATGCAAATGGCTTTCACTTTCTCACAAAAAAGAGAGCAACGAGGGACGAAGTGGACCGTTTGATGAGAATGAGAGCAAGATGTCCTCTCTCTCCTCACCTACCCCCACTTTTGTCTTCCCTCCTCTTCCTCCCCCGTAATCAACTTTCCCCTCACTTTCACCAATTATTGTCCCAAAACTTGAAAAAGAGTCACCATAATCACCAAACCGCATCTCCATCAAAACGCTCATTTTGCCTCCAATGAGCTTGTCTTTAGCTGCCCATCTTTGTATTTTACCCGAAGTAGTTTTAGGCACACTCCCACTTCTAACCAGAACCACCATCCCAACTTCAACTCTCTCCTCCTCAGCCACACCTTTTCTCACTCCTTCACATATCTTCCTCAAAACCCCAATCTCTTTCTCACTCCTCTGCATCTCCACAACCACCACAACTGTGTTTGAAATCTCAAACGCAGCCGAACACCCCGCTCTCAGAAACCCCGGACTGCTATTATGAGCAGCTGTTTCTATATAATGTGGATGGATTTCTTCATGGTTTTTACGTTTGATCACGTCTGCACATCGACCCATCACAAAAAGATACCTTTCGTCTCCTTTCACAACACCCCTATCACCTGTCCGTAAAAAGCACCGACTCACCTTGTTCTTAAGCCTTGCGTAATACACCTCACGAGTCATTGTAGGGTGGGCTAAGTAACCAGAGGCATTGCTGGGAGACGAAACCCAAATCTCTCCTTCAATCCCATCCTCAACTGCTTCATGCGTCTCTTCGTTCACGACAATGATATCCATGTCCACCAGTTCGTCGTCGTTTTCGCCGAGCCTTGCACTTGGCAAGAGCTTGTTGTATGATGGCATGTTGGGAACGTCATTGCTGCATGCTCTCCAAGCTGTTGAAACAAACGTGCAGTTCTCTGCCAAGCCATAAGAAGGAGAAATGGACGATGGTTTCAACCCAAAAGTCCTAAACACATTTACAAACTGCTCAACCGCGTCCCTGTAAATCGGCTCGTTTATAATAAGGAGATTCTGTAAACTCCATAGATGTATAGGCGAGGTGCCTTTGTCAATCCCACCTCGCTTGACAACTAGCGGCAGCGCGAACGATGGAACAGGAGTGCAAGTAGCTCTGAACTGTGTTATTAGCTCGAGCCACAGCCTTGGCCTGTTAACAAACGCAGTTGGTGATGTCAAGACGCTTGTTGCACCAGACACAATTGTTAACAGCAGAAACATGAGGCCACAATCATGGTACTGAGGCAACCACGAAACAATCACGCTATTCGGGTGAAGATCGTAGGCCTTCCTGGCTGTCCTAACATTGTGAGCAGCTGAACCTGCTGTGACAAGCACTGGCTTTGGGATCCCAGTTGCTCCTGAAGTGTACTGAACCAGATACACATCCTCTGCTCTGCAGCCTTTGTATGGTGAAAATTTAGGACCCAATTGGGAATGTTGTAACTTTCTATCTTTAGCTTTAATGTCAACAGTGGAAATCCAGTGGAGACTTTGCAACATATGAACAAGCTTTTTGCTGGAGGATGAGGAGGATATGTAGTGGTTAATGCTTGTGATGTAGGTGGGGTGAGCTATGGCAGCTTTAGGCTTTGTTTGGGAGAGGGCTCTTATAAGGTGGTGGAAGTTTTGATTAGTGAAAGAAGGGTCGGGGGGGGAAATGGGCACGCTCAAAAGGCCAGCCCTTTGGCACCCGAAAATGGTCTCGACTAGTTCGAGCCCCGGTGAGCATAGGACAACGACAGTGTCACCTCTTTGAAGTGGGATGAGCAATTGAGAAGCAATGCACTGCACCGAGTCATTGAGCTGAGCATACGTGAGGGTTGACTTAGCATCAATGGCGGAGCCGTCTTCGACCCAAACGAAGGCTGGCTTGGATCGGAAGGCCGGGAGATTAGCCCAGACTTGTAGGTAGAGGTCCACCACAGGCTGGTCGGGATAGGAAGGATCATAGTTCTCGTAGTTCATCATGGTGGTGTGTTTCCGGTTTTGGGTTTGTGTTGTCTTACCAAGTGTCTGCATTTTGAGACCATTTTATAGTTGACAAAGTTGGTATAATGGTTTAGAGATAAGACATTTGATGTTGGGCGTGGTGCATAAAACGACGAAATTAAATAGAGAATAAGAGATATTCGTTAGGATATCCCACATTCTGGAGCTACAACTGTAATAAGAAAAGGCTCGCCGATCCCATAGTTGATGTGGAAGTTCATGTTTTTGTTTTGTATTTCATGGTGCTGTCTGTGAACTGTGGTTTCTGAATTAATTAACTTTACTTCAAGCATATAATCTGCCGCCCCCGCCCTAAATGAATATCCCATCGGAGGAGGAATATACATTTGGATTAACGTTTTGATGCCTGGCTTGATCCATGATATAATAAATTCCTAAAAGGATTAGAAAGAAAAAAGCAAAAAAAAACCATGCATGCATGAGAGTGACAGATATTTTGTTTCCCATGTGTATATATATGTTGCGGCTACAAGACACTGCTGGTTGGTTGCCGATGATTGCAAAGATTCTGGCTTTATCCATTGATCATGTCATAAAGACGAGGAAATCATTTATTGTTGACAAATAAAATTGAAAAGGCTAGATTTGTCATTTGCTGTGATGATGATTATAGCAGGCTGATACTCGGAAGTATTATTGAATGAAATTTGGCAAATATGCCTCAAATTTTCACGTAATGTACAATAGCTTCCACTTTATACTTTACATGCGGATCAATCACTAATCTAATAACACCACAATATGATACATGTGTATTTTTATTTTTAGCAACAATACATACGTATTTTTCCCTTACCTCTTCTTGCTCCAATGTACCTCAGCTTCTAAAATCCCAACGTAAATACAGAAAGTACTTCCACGTTATCTGCAGATAAAAAAACCCCTCGAGGATCTTCACATTCGAGAAATGAAAAAGAAGTAGAGACAAGGTAACGGACATTTTATATTAGGTTTAAAAAAAATTAATTAATTTTTATATATAGAAAAGAAAAAAAAAAGGGATTATGGGAGATGTTGAGTAGAAATTATAAAAAAAATCGCAGTGTAAGCCCAGCAACCCTTACAACAAGAACCTTTTTCTGAGAAGGGTGGCCCAAATAAACTTCCTATATCTAGTCCGGGATTTCATCACCATTTAAACTTGGCTGATTTAGCGATTAGGTCCCTGCTGCTGAGTGCTGACAGTTGGGCACAGTGGCAGTTTAAGGAAAATAACCAAAGATATCATCAAAAATCGAATAAATAAAAATTAAAAAACCGGTCAAAATGCTCATTGAGATCATCCTCCAATTTTGAAACTGGCAAGGTGAGAACCCTGAAACCCAAAAAGACTCCTCACTGAAGATCATATGAAACAAAGAAGCAGCCTGCAAAACCCCCTTTAAGCTTATGATTTGAAATTTAATTGTACATAATGTCTGGTACTAGGGCAATCTAAATCAGCTAAATATGGTTTCAAATATTAGAATCACACTCACCAAGAGTGCTAACCACATCCAACGGTGAAGGGCTTCCCTCTACTCTACGGTTGCTCAATCTACGGGTAAAGGCATTGAAGCATTGCATTCTCTCAAGTCCTATAAGAAATCTCGTCGCCAACTTATTGATGTTTTCTAAATTGAAGACAATAAAACTAGAGCATTGCATAGACAGTGTTTATTTAATCCCAAAGCATAATAATTACTGAATAGGGTTCAATACAGTCTCATCCTTGAAAGCTTGCATGCCAGAGCTTTTAGCAGCAAGATTTCCACACATGAACCATTCTTGAACTTGCTCAAGCTAAGTCGAATAAACATGACTGAAGGACTAACTTCTCAATTCCATTCCCGATCAAGGTCCCCAGGTACAGGCCCTGTATCACATGACATGGAAAAGGATAGTTCACCATGAATGCAGGCACCATTCCTTCCATAAAAAGCCAAAACCATTAAACTCTTACATATAACATTCATTTTATTAAAAAGTTAAATACTATTAATTTATGATATATGAGCTCCCAAGATTTGCTGAAATAAGACCACAAATTAATTATTTAGTTCTCGCCCGGATCTACTACTAAACTAACCCAAAGCTCATACTCAAAATAACATATTCCATAACTCCAACAATGACAGAAATTGATGGTCAGTACAATCAAATATCCAGTAAGCAACAAAAAAGCTCATCTCTTCATACCCAGTGAAAAACTGCAAATGTATGGTGTATTATGAAATACTGATTCAAGATAAATCTACCGCTGATAAGGGGATAAACAAAATTTTTTTTGCTTAGACATAAATTTGAATAAAACAAGACCCCAACAATCAATGGTAAACCTTTTTTATTTTATTTTATTTAAATAGAAACATTTTTTATTCAAAATTTGAAAGGATCAAAAAGGGAGGCATTTAGAACACAGACAAAAAGAAAGAAGCACTAGCCAGTGAAACAAACACAAGGCCACTCAACACAGAAAACAAAACAGCCAATCAAAAGACAACCCCTTAAGATACTACAGTCAGCAGATTGCGCATAATTGTAGGATAGGATGTATCCTTAAAAGCAAGGGAAATTGATGCCCAAAGGGCAGCCCAAAATTTCACTCTATCCCATAACTCTACCACTCCCACTCCCTTATAATCGTCGAAGATTCTCCTGTTACGTTCCAGCCAAAGGTTCCAGATCACTGCCTGCATCAGACTGCCCCAAAGGTTTTTAGCTTTCTTTCCCCTTCCCAAAGTATCAAATTTGATGGAAAAAAGTTCGAAACAGCCTTTCGGTATTACCCACACAGTGTTAACTTCCTTCCGTAACGTCTCCCACAACTTTAGAGAGAAAGGGCAATGAAGGAGGAGGTGGTCCACACTCTCCACCAATGGTAAACATAGTGTTTTCTATTGTCCCTGGAGGCTGGTATCATCCAGCTTCCTCACCATTACCTAAACCTATGCTAGAGCAACTTTCGTGTTCACCGTGTGGCCTTTAATGGTAAGGAGATTAAAAGAACACAAAAAACTCCTTGGGGTCCCAAAAATTTCTTCAGAAACAAACCAATAGTACAGAAGAAAACTGGAAGTGTCATGGAACACCACCTAGCCTGCTACTCCTATACACTTACTGCTTTGGATGACTAAAGCTCTGATTGGAAATTACAAACATATTTCATAATTACATAGCTTGGGAAGAATACTGAGCAACTAAGCAGACATGGACAGATTGGGAAACAACCCATGTGTGCTCTCTGGGTGTTCTAAGATGACGAAGAAGAGACAACATATTAAGAGACTAATGGTGGAGGAAAAGGTTCAGGGCCTTGATAGGAAAAGGTTTAAGAGTGTTTAGTTTCTTCTTATATTTATCATGATGTAACAGGGCATGTTTATCTTCTATTTCAATGGAAGAAATTTTCCTTTAACTCTGTGATTCAGCACAAAGTTAGAAAGAATAACATGCAAGTATAAAAACACGTTAAGGAAAAAACATGCACAGAGCATCCTTCCACACAGGACGACACACATCAGAGAAAGGAAGCACAAATGTCAACAAAGGGGATATCAATTTCAGTAAGAACAGCATCTCAAGCAAACAAACCCAGCTTTCAATAAGAAGAATAACAGTCAGAGGGCATTTGAAATGCCATTCTAAACACTTAACAAGAGTGTATACATAAACGACCAAAAAAAGAAAGGAACTAAGCAAACTACAAGGGTTTAAACATTCAGGCACAGATAGACTGCTTCTAATATAGCAAAACCAAAATTCAAATAAACAAAAGAAATATTCACAAAGCTATCATCTTGTAGCGGCATTTGCAATTAAACTACAAACGGATACTCAATGGAATTGCCCAAAAACCAATAATTGAATTTAAGTGAAAAGGATTGAAATTTATACCCAATATTAATAAGACTGCTGAGTGAATCCATAAGCTGCTGTTGCTGAGGGTGCTGCGGATGCTGTTGTTGCTGCTCCTCCTGCTGCTGCTGTGGCGGTAGAGTCGCACCAGCCGCCACGGCCGCCGCACTCGAAGGAGCTCCCTTGGATTCACTAAATCTCCACATATAACAAGCCGCGACGGACCGGTACGGCCGCCACTTCTCACACAAATGCTCCATCTGAGACGGCCGAGGCAACTCGTCAAGATTGTAGAGAAGCTGAACGCCTTTGCGCATGCTGAGGTCGTTGATCGGAAGCACGTCGGGCCTGTGAAGCGAGAAAATCATGAACATGTGCACAGACCAAGAGCCGATCCCATTGACCATCGTCAGCATTGTGAACAGCGACTTGTCGTCCATATTTACAATCGCCGCGTCCGATAGAATCCCGTTCTGGTACTTTCTGGCCAAGTCGTGGAGGTAGCTGGCTTTTCGGCCCGAAACCCCGATTTGGCGGAGCTGCTGAGGCGTTTGGGCGAGGACCGTCTCGGGGACGACACAGGCCTCGCCGCCGCACAGGCTGACGAAGCGCGTGTAGATCGAATTGCCGGCCTTGTATGCGAGTTGCTGGTAGAGAATGCTACGGGTTAGGGCAAGGAAGGGGGTCTGGAAGGTGTCAAAGGTCGGCCGCTGGTGGAGGTCGATCAACGGAGCAAGGAGCGGATCGGCGTTTCGGAGATGGCGGATTGCCGCCTCGACCTCACCTTCGCAGGAAAGCGGCCGCGCTGCGATTTTCGGGGCCGAAAGGGCGCGTTGCTGGACGGCCTTGGACTTGGCGGACTTGGCGGCGGCGGGAAGGGGTTTGGGGTTGTCGGGTAAGGCGACGATTTGTTGGGAGGAATTGGGGTCGGAGGTGTCGGGCGATAACTTGCGGATCTTTCGGGGGCGGAAGGGGATTTTGGAAGGGGGCGATGAGGTTTGGGAGGGAGCATTGGTGAGTTGGGTGGGTGTGGGGCTCACTTCGGCGATTGTGGTGTCGTCGATGGAGTCATGGTGAGGCGGTTGGGTCGGAGTCGGAGTCTGGGGCTGGGTTTGGGTTTGGGTTTGGGTCTGGACCTGGGTTTGCTCGCCCATATGTGGAGTGGAGGAGTGTGTATCAATTTCAAATTCAATGGGTGGCTTGAGTGGAAATATGGGTGGTTGTGGGGATGGCCGGTGGCGGTGGCGGTGGCGGAGGTGGTTTACGAGAAGTATTGAATTGAAGCCATCGGAAATTGGGAGTGTTTGTGTGCAGAAGGAGAGAAGAAGGGACTGTAGTTTGAAGTTCCTTTACGAAATTGACTGGGAAACAAAAGTTTTATTGACACTCTCCATTCTTAATTTCAATATCCCTAGTATGTTTTTTTTTTTTTTTTTTAATAAATAAATTTTATTTTTCTCTCTTTCTCTCTCACTGCGAGTGCGAGAGTCCTTTAATAAAGTAACAGGTGGCTTCCGTTTTCTCCTCCTCCGATAACCAAAAAAGTTCATCATCCTCCTCTCATGGAATAAAAAACAAATAAATGAAATCCAATTTGGGATTTTTCTGCTTCACGCTCCATTTTAGCGCGTGACTCATCCTTGTGTTCTTCCTCCAGTTGCAGTACAACATTAATTATGATTATTTTCTTCTTCTTCTTCTATTTTGTTTTTTTGGGCTGAGGCCCGTTATAGCGTGTTTGGCAGAACAAAACATGACGCAATAGAGTTATTGATTGGGTCTTGTAAAGCCCGGTATAAACCCAAAGTTTGCCTGATGAATTTGAACTTGTATTTCTATCAGAAATATGTATCGGTCTGGGCCTCTCCCAATTGTTAGATCATCGCTTACCCAACCCAAGATGGGTTCAATTCATCATGCTTAAACCAAATCGCCTAACCCAAATTTGTCTTTTTAATGGTTTTAAGTTCCATATTGGAAGCCCAACTAAATAAATAAATTGCAACATATAATGAATGATTACACTACTAATAGCACTGAATACCTTTTATTCATAAAAAAATAAAAAAATAAAGAAAAGATACCGACTGATTGATCTCGGTGGACAAGGAGACATAGTTCAAAGTTTTCAACAGGACTTGTGATTGCGATTATGAACAAATGGTGTTTGCGTCTAAAACTGATTAAGGACTGTTAGGTAGACTGATATCTATACAACTGCTTTTTTTTTTCTTTTTTTTATTAAGGGATAGCAGGCATCTTATTATAGTAGATGTATTATTTGTTAATAAGTTAAAAGTTGGATGTGTGAATGAATTAGGTTGAGATTTCTGATAAAAACAAACAACTATTAGGTTGAAATTAGTAGATAATCTAAAACCGTGCAAAATCACGTGGGTTTTGTTTTGTTCCGTTTTGATTGAATTGGACTAATTGGTGGGTAGGTGGTCAATAATGCAAAAGGAACTGAAGGCTGGTACAAACAAGAGCCTAAATAATTATTGAAGAAGAACTGAAAGCTGGTACAAGCAAGAGCCTAAATAGTTATTCTCATTATAGGTAAGTTTTTTTTTTTTTTTTGAAAGAGGAGGACGGTACTACTTATCACTTGTTATAATTCTACCACCATGTACAAGTTGTCCAAACTCAGAGGACGGATGGTGATAGTGGCTAACGAGACCCACGAGCCTACCTACAACCACACACAACTAGTAACTTACAACATATTCATTTAATTAGCATATAAAAACCTAATCTTTGCACATAAAAATCATAATCCTTCTTAAATAGCATAAGACTATATAATTGACGCCTACTTAAAACAATTAAAAATATATATTTAAGTTAAGTTAGTTGATCAGAACAATATATATGTTCCCTCATATTCAAATTCGAGTCATTCTCTCTGTAAGTTAAATTAATTTAAAATTTAAACTATCGCTTGTATTGAAAAAAACCAAAAAGACAATAAAACTCATTGGTGAAAGTTGCAGATAGACTTCATTTAAAAAAAAAAGTTACAGATAGACAATCATAAGATAAGACCGCGCATAAACTATAAACACGTATTATAATATGTGTTGCCGACGTGGCAGAAGATGAGCTCGGTTGCACAGTCACAGCACGAATCTGTTGGTAACGGCAAGGTGCGGAGCTGGACTTATAGGCCAGCACGATAAACGGACGATTGGAGACTATAATCATAGCGTAAGCCTATAGGCTCCATTTATATTACGGCTTCTCTTCTCTGTGGGTCGTTTTGCACGCAGTGAACTTTGTCTGTTTCTCTGTTTCTCTGATCGCAGAGGCCACAATGAGTTTCAGGGACGACAATGAAGAGGGAAGAGATCTCAGGAAGCCCTTCCTGCACACTGGGAGCTGGTACCGCATGGGTTCCAGGCAATCCAGTATGATGGGCTCGTCCCAGGTCATTCGAGATAGCTCCATTTCTGTGGTGGCTTGTGTTTTGATTGTCGCTTTGGGTCCTATCCAATTCGGCTTCACCGTAAGCATAGTTCGCTCTCCTTCTTCTTCTTCAAATTGTTTTTTTCGCAATTAGAGAGCCTGAGCTGATTGAGTTTTGGACAAGTTGAGCTTTTTGATTGCGGAGAGCTCAAGAAATGAGAAGATTGAGCTTGATTATACTTTTCCTCTATTCATATCTGTTTACGAATCACATTTTTCGTTCCTGCAGTCTGGATATTCTTCTCCGACCCAAGCAGCAATCATCAAGGATCTTGGACTCACAGTGTCAGAGGTTTGAATCTCAGTTTTTGTTTTTAATGTGTATTTGTATACTGGGTTTGTTTGTTTGATTGGTTTTAGTTTCTAACTATTATCATCTGGGTCAGTATTCTCTTTTTGGTTCTTTATCGAATGTGGGTGCCATGGTAGGAGCTATAGCCAGCGGTCAGATTGCTGAGTATATTGGTCGCAAAGGGGTAGGATTTGATCACTAATTCTATTCCTTATTAAGCGTAGCATCTTTGACTAACGTTCTTTTGTTTAATTCTAAGACTGGGTTTTATTAATTGCAGTCTTTAATGATTGCTGCCATTCCTAATGTTATCGGCTGGCTTGCTATATCATTTGCCAAAGTGAGTTTTCATGACTGTACCGGTTTATAGGAATCTAGACATGAACAGAATGCAGTCAGGAATATGCTGTCTTACATCAACTTTAATTCTTTTTGTAGGATTCTTCTTTTCTCTACATGGGAAGACTGTTGGAAGGATTTGGCGTGGGAATAATCTCGTACACGGTAGCGTTGAGTTGTTTCAGTGATGTCTTTCTATGTTGGAATTATGTGGGGTGAGTAACTGTGAGAGTACTGACTTGGTTGATCATTGCTAGGTGCCTGTATATATAGCTGAGATAGCACCTCAAAACTTAAGAGGTGCTTTGGGTTCAATCAATCAGGTTGGTCTTGTTTAGTAGCTTATTTTTACCATGAGTTTGTGTTAGTAGTTACTAACATATATCTGTAATCAGATGATTTAAACTTTAATCCTTGTTCTGTAGCTCTCTGTAACCATTGGGATAATGCTGGCTTATCTGCTTGGACTTTTAGTTCAATGGAGGATACTTGCAGTTCTGGGTAATCTTCTTAAAATTCATTGTGGTGTCCACATCACTTGTTGGAAAATATTCTGGCTATTATATTTCTCCCTATTAGATTGATGACACGTTTCTATCTTATATCTATAGAAGTTGTTTCTGTCATGGATGTAGGATTTTCCTAAACTCGATTTACTTGAAAGAATTACAAATTACAAATTTGCTTTCTTGCTAATGGTAATTAGAAATTTTATTACATAAATGAAGTCTTATATCATCTTTGAGAGAGCACTTTACACTTGGTTTCATTGCTTCTTACATTGTCAACCCAAACAGTAAATTTTTGCAGTACTGTCATGGCAAATGTTTGGTATTCATGGAGCAGTTCGTGTTATTGGTTTTAATTCTAAAAAGCTTCTATATACTCAGGAGAAAAGACAAGTCGTACTATTATTTGTAATAGCAGCAGATTTCATTTCTGGTGAACATTTTTATATTGATGGTACAAATTATTACTTTTCAGGAATATTGCCTTGTACGATATTGATACCCGGGCTCTTTTTCATTCCAGAATCTCCTCGATGGCTGGTAAGTCACCAAAGTAGGTTTTCCTCTCAATCACAGTTAGAGTGCTAGATATGATATCACAGTTTTTTCATTTTTGGTTTCAACATCCAACAGGCAAAAATGGGTATGACCGAGGATTTCGAAGCCTCTTTGCAAGTTCTCCGGGGATTTGATACTGATATTTCTGTTGAAGTGAATGAGATCAAGGTACAAAGCCACAGTTTCCTGCTAAAGACCTTTAAATTATGCTATTACCATTTCACTCTTGGAAATTCACCTATGTAAATAATTTCCTTGATATATATTGGGCAGAGATCTGTAGCATCAACAACCAGAAGAACAACAATTCGGTTTGCACAACTCAAACAAAAAAGATATTGGCTTCCTTTAATGGTATTAATTATAGTCCAGAAGAGTTGGTTCTCTAATTGGCTATGTTTTCATCTCAAAGATGCATATGTCAAAACCTGACTGATTTCACTAACTTTTGTGTTGCAGATTGGAATTGGTTTACTTGTTCTTCAACAGCTAAGTGGAATTAACGGCGTTCTATTCTATTCCAGTACCATTTTCGCAACTGCCGGTAAGGTTTCCCATCTTATCTGAAAGAATTGAGTTGGGATGCTGCACAGAACATAGGAACAGTGTCATATTCTTTGCTCCCTGTTTCCTTTGACCGCCAAGAAGTGTGTGAATGTACTTCCTTTTTATTTTACATGTAGGACACAGATAGGCATTACATGTATGTTATAGAGGAAAACAGACTTAAGTCGGTTTTCTGTTCATTTGAAATTACTCTTATTAGTTTTAGTTTTTGAATAGGGATTTCATCAAGTAATGTAGCCACATGTGGCCTTGGTGCTGTTCAGGTACATCAATAAAATCTTCAAAATTGGTTTCTTCTCTCACCCAATATTCTCAAGTTGTAAACATAACAAGTATCTGTATGCATTTAGGTCATAGCCACCGGGGTGACTACTTGGTTGGTGGACAAAGCAGGCCGTCGACTTCTGCTTATTGTGAGATTGAATTATTATTATTTTTTTGTCACTGTTGAGTCATTAATTTATTATTCTTTTGGACTAGAAGAAATGAATAAATTTTATACAATTCCTCGTAGATCTCTTCTGCTGGAATGACAGTTAGCCTCCTAGTCGTTGCAGTAGCATTCTTTCTAAAGGTATTAAAGCTTTAATGTTTTCTAGAAAAATATTATGGGTATTTGCTTGTTTTGTGTATATTCTCAAAAAAGAAATTCCACTGATCGCAGGATTTGGTAGCAACTGATTCAAATATTTTTAGCATATTGGGCATCATAACAGTGGTTGGAGTTGTGGTATGTTAATGTTCTTAATATTACAATTCAAAGAACATTGGTTCTCTCATATTCATTTTTGGCCTTTTCTACTAATAATTCCTTTGTCTTACACTATTCTTTCAGGCCATGGTACTTTTCTTCTCTCTGGGTGTAGGAGCTATTCCATGGATTATAATGTCCGAGGTATGTCAATAATATAGTCTTTTGATACGGTAATTGCTTGCCCTTGGCAGGTCTGCTAGAGACTCATATGCAATATAACCCTTATGTTTTCAAATTTCAATACCTGCAAGTTCTTTCACCTGCAATGTTTGCAACATGCCCTTTGTTCATACCAGTACGACGTGTGTACTAGTGCATGTCTGGTTTCCTATATTTCAAGTTTTGTCTCCAAACTCTACTTGGAGAAGCAGATGAATCCGTTGTATGCCAAGATTTCTCCATTGCAAATATTCATTATATTACTGAAGATGAATTTTCTGCAATCGAAGCTTCTGCCTGGTTACCTCTATGTGCTTGAAAACTTGGCATCATGAAGTCACATACTATCAACTTTAGCATAATATTCTGGCCAATACAAAATTCCTTCGCCAACTACTCTTTTAAGTAGCTTTGCAATTTTGAATTTAACCAAGAAAGAAAAAAGAAAGGATAAGACTTTCACTCATAAGTTTGTCATCATGCATCTGTGCATGCCTTATTCTTTGGCTGCTGACCATCCCAAAAAACATTTGATTTTAGAATTTCTTGTCAGGCGTAGTGTTTAGTGTCTTGCATTGAGTACAAAATTTTGTTCTAATAACTTGCTGCAGAATATATATATATATCTTTTTTGGATCATCCAATAAAATGTGAATTTGGTAATGCAGATTCTTCCAATTAATATTAAAGGCCTTGCCGGAAGCATAGCAACACTTGCCAACTGGTTCGTATCCTGGGTGGTCACGATGACTGCAAACTTGCTGTTGGAATGGAGCAGCGGAGGTGTGCCTCTCTCTCTGTCTCTCTCTCTCATACACACACACATTAGAAACTTTGCCTTATAATTGGGTCGAGCAACCACTTATTGAATGATGTTGTTTTATCCTTGGTTGTATTATTTAGTGGTTTTTTTCTTTCTCTTGTTATTATTTGGGGCTAATGGGCAGCTTCCACTTTCAACAGGAACCTTCACCATTTACATGCTTGTGAGTGCTTTCACTGTCGTATTTGTAACCATTTGGGTTCCCGAGACGAAAGGGAGAACTCTGGAAGAGATTCAGTTCTCCTTCAGATGAGGTTTTCTTTCCCCTTCTTGCATATTACTTGCTTTCTTCCTTCTGTTAGAAGAAAAAACCAAGAGTTACCGTTTTGAGATAATCCCAGAGAAATTGTGCAACGTGAAACGTGCACGTTTTGTAATCTTTTCGTGACATAAGAACAGGCTTCTTCTTCTTCTTCAGCCAGCCGTTGGTGTTCTATTGCTACATTCATTGCTCGTCACTATCTTTCTAGAGGTAGCTGTAAACTCACAACAATTGTCTTATAGTTTATTAAATTCATTAAATTAATTTTCCGACCTAGCAGATTTCTATTTTGCCCTCTTATCCTATGATATTATTATGTATGTAAGAACTCGATGAGTTTTTATCAAACCCAACAAGTATACCCATCACCTGAGTAGACGGTTTATCTTCTCAGGCAGGTGATTGGTGTGGGGGTTGGCGGGATGATTTGTGAAAACGAGGTCCTCATAACAAGTTAAGGACCATCCAAACAGTCAATCCATCCATCTTACAACCTGTAAGTGAAGGGGAAAGGAAGCTGTGCCTTCAAATGACTGGTGGATATGAATTACCCTTTGTTTTTGCTGGTCAACGGTGGATATGAATTACTAATCCTACATATACATCTAATGACCTTTAGTGGGTTATATTTAGGGGTGGTTGCGGTTCGGTAATCGCGAATTTTTACTCAAACCGCAAACCGATCTATTATTTGCGGTTTAGTGATTTTTGAAACCGCAAACCGACCGCGTTTTGCGGTTTAAAACTGCAAGTTCTCAAGCATTCACAAAAATATAAATTCACAACCTAAATAAATAAATACACAACCTCAATTTCTCAAGCATATATAAATTCACAATCTCCTCAACTTCTCAAGCATTCGCAACCTAAGAAAATTAAAGTTACAATTCCAAACATTCCAATTAAAGTTAAACTTATCAAGCATTCCAATTCCAAATCCTTTAAAGTTACAAACTAAAAAGAAATGCAAAGCAAAATGAATTAAAGTTACAATCAAAAAGAAAAATCCAATTCAAAGTGAATTAAAGTTACAAACTAAAAGGAAAATGCAATGCATCAATGTTACAAACTAAAGTTACAAACTCAAGTGTTGGTGGTAAGTGGATTTAAAGAACCCCGTTGTGTTGTTTGAGCACTAATGTTATCTACAAATAAAACAACATAGTTTAATACATTTTATTATAAGAAGAAGCATAAATAACATTAGCATAAATAAACTAATTACTTACAAGTTGTTATATGTTCCATTTTCTTGTAGAATTCAACATCATCATCCGTGCGACTATACTTTGCAGTTTGCGGTTTACGGTAACCGCAAATTTTGAAAATCAAATACCGCAACCGCAACTGCAACCGCAAATGTGGTTCGGTTCTTAATACCGCAAAATGCGGTTCGGTTTACCGTGATTGCGGTTTTATTGCGATAAATTGTCGGTTGATTTTTGCGGTTTTTAGATTTTTCGGTTTAAAATGCCACCCCTAGTTATATCCCTTGGGCCTTGCCCTCGACTTGTCAACAGGTAATCTTCTGGAAAAAAAAAGGAGGAAGAACCGTATATCAAATTATCAAAATGGGTCACTTTTTGATACATGTTCAATTATTCATTTCGATGAAGACCGTCTCCCACCACTTAGGAATGGAGTCTGTGATGCAATGTGATAATTGATTGGCTAAATCTTAGTTTAAAACATGCAATTTTGAAACCCATCAGGAAGATATGAAGAAACCTCAATGTTTATTGATAAATTGGAATAACAAAACATAATCCTAGTCATGGGTAAAATTTGTTTAAATACTCATAGAAGCCCTAGGAATAAAGCAAGAATTAAAATAAGAAAATAACAAGGTTTACTCTGAAAACTTTACAATTGGATTTTGTCTAAACAATCCCGGATGCCCGAAAAATCCCATACATCATGGAAAAGCCATGAGTTTTACTTGTGATACCGTTATCTTCGAATCAACGGGTCATGAGCCCGATTCTGAGCTTGGAGCCTAAATATGTAGCTTGCTCTATTTACCCATGAGTGCGCGTCTCTCCAGCTCTTGTTTGATTGCTTTCGCCATATGTTCTACATCAGTATTTTCCACTTCTGAAGTACTAAACCCTTATCATCAGGATAAATTGACTCATAATTATGGAACTCATGTAGATCCACAACATTGAAAGTGCTTGATATACCCATGGAAGGAGGAAGATCCAAGACATAGGCATTGTCGTTTATCTTTTTCAGAACTTTGTAGGGGTCATACTTCCGAGGCTTTAGTTTGCTATATGTACCAGGAAAACGTTCTCTCCTTAGGTAAACCATCACAAAGTCTCATTCTTGGAACAACTTCACTCTGTGGCGCTTGTCATCGGCGATTTTAAATTTGGTATTGGTCCTCTCTAGCTTTTCCTTCACTTCTTCCTCACAGTCTAACCTATTCAGCCATATTTTCAACAGCTACACTAGTATTATAGGCTCTTGGAAGTTTAATCAGGTCAACCACATGCCTAGGCACCAAATTGTAAACATGACAAAAGGTGATTTTCCTGTGGAAGAATGGACAACATTGTTGTAGGAGAACTCCACATGTGGCAATACAAAGTCCCATTGCTTCGACCTATCTTCGCAAATGCTCCTAATCATGTTACAGAGGGTTCTATTGGTAACCTCAATTTGACCATATGTTTGGGGATAAGCGATGTTACTACGATTCAAGTCTGTACCAAACATCCTCCACAAAGTGATCCAAAAGTGGCTAATGAATTTGATGTCACGGCCTGACGTAATAGATTTGGGAACACGATGCAACTGTACAACCTCCATGAAAAATAATTTGGCTATGTTAGAAGCGTCTACAGTCTTCTTGCAAGCAACAAAGTACGCCATCTTGGAAACCTGTCCACCACAATAAAAACATAATCGACTCCTCATTGTGTATGAGGGAGTCTTAGAACAAAATCCATAGACAAGTCTTGCCAAATATCATCAGAGACAGGGAGAGGCATATAAAGGCTAGTATATTAGGATTGGTCTTTAGATACCTGACAATTGTAGTACTTCCGCACAATCGTGTTGACATCTCGCTTCAAGTGTGGCAAAAAATAATGCTCTTCCATACTAGCAATGGTTTTATCACAATCCAGATAGCCACTCAATCCACCTTCATGCAAGTCTTGAATCAGTTTCTCCCTTAAAGAAGAAATAGGGGTGCACAACCGATTGCCCTTAAATTAATACCCCTAATTAACATGATAATCTGTCATCAACTTGTTGCAAACACACTTAGCCTAAATTTCCTAAAAATCCTCATTAGTCTCATAAAGTTTCTTCAGACATTCAAAATCCACAACTTCTTGAGCCAAAATAACAAGCAAGGTTGCTCATCGAATTTGCTACACGGTTAAGAACCCTAAACTTATGTTTAATAACAAAAGGAAATTTCTGCAGTTTAGTAGCTCACCTGACATGCATCTTGTTCACACTCTTCTCTCGCTACACTAGATAATGTTCCTATTGTTTAAGGGCTCGAACCACTCCATAAAACTCCTTGTCATAAGTGCTCTATTTTTGAAGTGCTTCACTGAGTTTTTCTAAGAAAATTGCAACCGGTCTCTACTCTTGAGATAAAACAGCTTTTACACCCACTTCCCTCGAATATCTTCTCAAAGTTAGGAATGGGTAGAACCGGTGTTGTGCTTAACTTTTCTTTAATGGGGGCAAGGCTTTGCTTTTGCTTTTCATCTTAATTACATTTTTCAAGCTTTAGGCATTCAGTAATTGGTGCGATCAGGGTATTGAAATGTCTTACAAAACGCCTTTAAAAGGTTACAAGGCCATGGAAACTCTTCACATCACTGGTTGTTTTAGGGGTAGGTCACTCTCGAATGGCTCCCACCTTATCTTCATCCACGTGGATACCATCTACACTAACGACATAACCCATGAAAAGTAACTTGTTTGTAATGAAAGTACACTTTTAAAGGTTAATATACAGGTTGTTCTCTTACATAACCTTCAAAACCTCCTTCAAATGTATCAAATGCTCCTCCTTGGTTTTGCTGTAAATCAGAATATCATCAAAATAAACTACAACAAATGAACCAATAAAGGGACGCAGAACCTTATTCATAAGCCTCATAAATGTGCTCGGTGCGTTTGATAATCCAAATGGCACCACCAACCATTCAAACAATAGATCCTTGCTCTTAAAAGCTCTTTTCCACTCATCTTCAAGTTTGATCTGAATATGGTGGTAACCACTCCTCAAATCAATTTTGGAAAACACTTTAGAGCCCTTCAAAACATCCAGCATGTCCTCTAAGCATGGAATTGGAAATCTCTTCTTGATGGTGATTTTGTTGATTGCATGGCTATTAATACACATGCTCCATGTACTGTCATTCTTTGGTACCAACAATCCAGAGACTGCACACTGACTCATATTCTCTTGAATAAACCCTTTTTGCAGCAAATCTTCTATCTTCTCTATGAGAATCTCATTATCGTTAGGGAAGACTAGCTCCTGACACCAAATCAATTTGATATTATATGTCTCTCATAGGTGGTAGCTCATTAGGTAAATCATCTGAAATTATATCATGAAAATCATTTAAAATTTTCTTTACCTCTCCGGGACAAGACACACCCTCTGACAAGGCAGCTAACAACCCTTTAACATACATAAGGTATACGACATTAGCTTCTTTAATATATTACTCAAACCCTTGCTTGTTGTTCGACATCACCAAAAAACTCAAGTTTTTTTTTTTTTTTTTTTTTTTGGCTTTTTCAATTTTCCAGAATCATTGATAGGAGCCATAGCGATTTTATGGGAACCCTAATTGAACAAGTACACATTATCACGTCCTTTATGTGTAGCATCTGTATCATACTGCCAATGATGCCCTAGTAACACATGGCTAGCATTCATATCAATCACGTCACACAAATTTTTTTGTTTGTAATGCTTGCCAATGAAGATAAGAACCCTGCACGGTCCTGTCACCTGAACTACTGGTCATTTCTTCACTCATCTCAACTGTAACACCCCGACTCCAAATTATTCCCTATTTTAATTTAATTAAGTGAATTTACGGAATTACCCTTAAGGTGAGGGTAATTTGGTCATTTTCTCATCCGAAATGATTTTGGGACCGCGGGTGGTTTGGTTGCGTAGGTGGTTCCGAGATGACTTCGTAGACAGGTGGCAGGCTTGAATTGGAGTTATAACGAAGTTGTGGCGATCAAAATAAGTTCGGTGGCAGAAACATAATTATTTCGAAAAAGTTTG